CTCATTATTCCATTTATAGATCATACATTAGTTAATTAAAATTAAAATCCAAATCATAAGATACAATTTAGTTATTGCTATTTTTTGTACATTCTATTATCTCCGTGAAAACTTTAGTGGAGATATCTGAAATGATTTAAAAAGCTACGATACATTATAAAAGCGATCTCCCTAACTCTAATTTTCTTTAGCTAAAAGTGTGGCTTAGATGTCAACCAGATAGTTGACTCTCAAGTGCTAGTGCTCTTAAACAATATAAGCCAGATAAGTTTTCAAATATTTACATACTTCTTTTCCTTGAAAAGAAGAATGTATATATTTCTTTTCCTTATTCTTTCATTCATTACCGCAGAATGTGAAAGAACAGCAAGCGTTATTCGACGCATTCATTCGTACACAATAGCAACCCAAAGACAGAATTAACTTTCTTAGTTGCCTTTAATGCACATCCAATATAATTAGATTAAATTTTGATTTAAATGTAGCCGTTAAAATGTTTGCAAAATTAGATACGAGAAGATTAGAATTTGTCTCCTTTCTTTTATACGATTAGCAACTCGCACCCGTTATAGAAAAGGGACGTATGTTCACTTATGCCAAAAATAAGAAATTTTGATAGTAGGCCATTTTTTCAAATTTTGAAAAGGGTCTTTTTTAAGTTTAAAACAGTGGGCCGCCAAAAAAAATGTGTCAACCTCCTAAAAAAAAGTCTGGTTACGAGCCTGCTATATGTGCAATTTTTTATTTGTAATTTTGTTAACAGTTTAAAAATGTTCAAATCAGCAGTAAAACGTTTTGCAATACAGTGTCATTTTATTTATCGAATGAAAAACAAAACATTTTATTTTTAAAAATGATACATTTTAAAGAAGTAAAAAAACATTGACGATGCAAGGCCGACAACACGGGTTTTAAAATGGAGTTGAAGGGTTTTTTATTATTATTATTTTTTTTTTGGGGGGAGGGGGGGGAGGGGGAGGCACAACAGTCAATTTTTAAAAAAGATCTTCTATATCCTGAATTTTCCAAAGAAAAGAAAAATCCTTTAGGAAAAAAGTTAGAGGCGGCGTTGTCGGCCCTGCGATGAACGAGGAATGTTTTGAAATAATAGTTAATTATGAAACCATCCGATTTATACATCTAGCACTAATACTAGTCCTTAAAACAAAACCAAAACATTTATATAACCGAGGGGTTTAGAAAAGAATTGAATGCAGTGCTATTTTTTTTTTTTTTTTTTTTTTTGAAAAAATATTGTCACCACTATGATCAAGATGTCTTTCCTTGTTAACCAAATACAAGTCTAGAAAAAATACTTAAGGTGGTCCTATACTAAAAAAAAATTAAAAAAATCGATTTTTCTAAAATTGCATACTCTTGAAGCCCAAACATTCTACATTCCAAATATATATAGATCATTAATCTACATTCCAAATATATATAGATCATTAATCTACATTCCAAATATATATATAGATTATCATAGTAAGTCAATTAAAAAATGCTCTAAAATAGCAAGTTTCACAGTGAAGTTAAATAATTTTCTTAGCAACGACCTTAGCAACGGGTTGTTTGTATTAGAAAGTAGGTGTTTTAGAGTTTTGCGTTATTAACTTTTAGTTTTTGACACTGGTGCCAGTAACTGTTTCATGTTTATTTTCCTAAATAAACAATGATTTTTAAGTACAATTAGTATGTTTACATATATTACTTATAGAAAAACTATCAACTTTGTGTTATACTTTACTTGCCTTGTGCTTATTTTTATTATGGGAAACAATGAATGTAATTCAAATTTAAGAAGGAAAACAGGTGGTCACAGGATTTTCAAATAAAAATAATATAAAGAAAATTAATTTTCCTCAGCAGAAACAGTCAGCATTAATTTAACTTATAAATAGTTAAATTAATGCTGACTATTACAGTATTAATTTAACTATTAACAGTCAGTATTAATTTAACTTCTTAATAGTTTAATTAATGCTGACTATGACCCTTATTTAAATTAATGCTGACTATGACCCATAATTGAAATCTCAACTGATTTATTAAAAAAGAAAGGCTTGGCTGTGTTTTTTAACATTTCTTGTACAACATCTTTGTGCGATTAAAAACAGTCTTTTTATTCTAGCAAAAAGATTGAAAAGCAAGGTTCAGCAATGTCACCATTTGAAATAAATTTTAGATTTGTTGTTGCCATGAGAGAGATTGGAAAAGATCATTTTGATTTGGAAAAATTTTGTCGTTAAATGAACTTACCAAATCCAATGAACATAAAAACATTTAATGATGTTTGAGATAAAATTCATATCATATACCAAAGTGTGGCTGAAGTGAAAAATGCAGAAAATGAATTTAGATATCTTAACGATGATATTCAACCAAATGATTTTTATATAAATGTAGTAGCTAATGTTGTTGTTTGTTGTGATAGAACTTGGCAAAAAAGGGTTATTTCTCACTTAATAGTGTAGTTACTGTTACTGCTAGTGACTCAGGAAAATGATTAGACTATTGAGTTCTTTCAAAAATATGCAATGCCTGTACATCATGAGAATCAAGAAAAGATAGTGATCCAGAACTTTATAAAATATTTTTTGGAAACTCATGATTGTTTATATAATCATGAAGGTTCTGCTTGATCAATGGAAGTTTCTAGAATTGTAGATTTATTTAATGAAATCTATAGACAAAAGGAGACTTCGATATAATCACTACATTGGAGACGGGGATTCCAAAAGTACCAAAATAGACCAAGAAAAAAAAAAAGATGATTAAAAAGAAGTTGCTTGACTCAATAAAACAAAATAGATAGGTGCTTCACGCACAATGAAAAGGTTTTACAGATATAGTAAATGAAAATGAAGCTGCATCTTATGAAACAGGACTATTTTAGATATTAGTTTTTTTGTTATTTTTTAAATTAACTTTATGTTAAGGCAGTTACTGTATTTTGTAACATAGTTATTAAATAATATCTTTTTACATTCAAGCTTTTTTTCATTGATTGAATATTTCTATTTTAGTTAAATGTCTTTTAAATACTAGAGTTTTTACATTTTTTTTCTTTCTGTGTTTTCAATAATGCTCAAGTCGTTTTTTTTTTTAATAATTTTTTTTACCTTGTTATAATATCAAAAAAAAAAATTTTCATTAAAAATCTTTGTTTTTCTCAATATATAAGTTTTTTGAACGCTGCGATAAATATCTTGAGATTGGTTTGTCTGATTGTGTTGAAATTTCCAGGAGTTGTTTATTTTACATATGCACATTCACCTTACCAATAGAATTTATGTTAGGTAACTGGTTATAAAAATAGGGTCTAGGTTCGAAGCCTTTTTGGGGCTTTTTTTAGGCCTTAAACCTATTTTTTTGCTAAAGCTTTAATAGTTTGTTAAATTATTTTATTTTGTCAGGGTGGGTGTAATTATCTGATATTAAAAAACTGTGAAAATTTCATGATCATACCATTATTAGCTTACAGACTGTTTATCGCAGGGCGTAGTCCATATTTATGGTCCATGGACCAAAAATTTTGACAAAAAAAAAAAAATCAATTTCTTTTTCCATTACTGTGCTTGAAATATAAAACACTATTTTTTATATAAAAATCATAAAAAATCAGTGCTATTTTAAAATTTTGATTTTATTAGTATAGGACCACCTTAATCATAGAAGATATTTCAATAAGTTTTGGAGCTAGATGCAATTCAAAACATAAAACTACTGTGAATTAGCTATTTAAAAAGAGTTTTGTTAAAAAATTAGTTAAACCAAAGATGCTGTAAACATATTACTACTGTATTAATTCAATTCAATTAATATAAACAACTAAATTAAAACCCTGTTTCATTTGATAAAATATACGCAGAAGTATTACATCAGTTAACATGTTCCTACTACAGAAAAAAAATTTAAGGCGATTAAACTTTCTGTTTCTTATGAAAAAAGTGATTTGGAAAAAGATTCAAACAAATCACGAAAGCATCTTTTTGTATCAACTAATGTAGACTTAAAACCAAGTATTCTCATTCAAAAAAAGATTTAACCATAGCCGAAGCCGGCTAAGATATTGGCTGTTAATGATAAAACAATGCCTCAACAAAATCGTACAATTTTTTTTATCTATGTCAAGGTATCATGGTATTCTCAGAGATTAAAGCTCTAGATTTTATAGTTTATACTGAAAAATATATTTTTTACTGAGAATATTTATTTTTTTAAAGAACACTGAAAAAAAAAACTACTTTACCAAAACTAATTTTATTTTGAGTTAATGCAAGATTTTTTAGTTTAGATGTTATAGTCAATTATTTAAAAATATATTTGTTGTTTAGATTTATTTATGATACAAGTTTTGCAAAAAGCTTTCTTAATAACAACAAACTAACTCTATTAATTTCTCACACAATTGTCAATATAAATATTGTATGTAAAATGTGATTTTACGTGAATGCAAACAGCAATTTTTCTAATTTAGTTTTCATCTTCGAGGCTTAGTTGAATTTTTCCATTTAGTAATGGTGGTGAGTTTAATGAAATGTTTAACAAAAGTTATGGCTTCGTTTAGTGCTACTCCAATTAATCCTTTTTCTGTATTTTTATGTTATTGAAAAAAGTTCCAGACTAGATTTTAAAAAATATAAGCATTTTAATAAATAGTTTTACCACAATCTAAAACTATTTTTGATCACTATTTTTTCTGGAAACATTGTGGCAATTATACACATTTAAGAATACAAAATCTTCAATTGAAAGTAAACTGATAAACAGATTTAATTAAACTAGTAAAAAATTTTAAGTGTGTTTGATTATGTTTAAATCTGTTTATTATTTGATTATGTTTAAATCTGTTAACCGATGAAATTTACCCCAATGAATTATATATCTTAAAGCATAAAAAGACAAACTTGTCTGCAATATAATGCTTCTTAAAATAAGTAAAATTCAATTTATATTTTTAAGATGAAAATATTGAATAGCTAACAAAACTAGGCACATTGGTTATTCATTGCAATATTTTAAATAATAAATGCTTACAAAAAATTTGTTTTAAAACTGTTTATATGCAGAAAGCGTCGCACCAAACAGATTGTCTTCCTTAACTTTTGGCAAGTTTTTTGTAAATATATTTAATGACTTGAAAAAATCATTCGTTCAAGTTCCACAATCAGAAAATCGTTTTTTTTTTATCTTTGTAGTTACTAGAAGTATCGAATATGACTTTCACAAAATATCAATAAAAATTTACAATCGCGTTAGAAGCACTTTTACAAACTTAAAAACGTTGTTATTTATAAAAGTAAAATTATAAAAGTTTTTAAACAACTTTTAATAAATAAATAGTAACTCATTTTGTTATCTCCGACCTCTAACAGGTCTATTTAGAGAGCGTGATCGCCGAGATGTCTTATTTTCTTTATTAGTAGAGGTTTTTGTAATGTTAGGGTTTTCATTGTGCTCTATTGGAATTTTTTTCTCGCGATTTAATATCTAGAGGGAAAAAAAAAGGATTAAAAATCATCTAAACAATTATATACATTACATTACATAATACATACATACATAAATACATTACATACATACATTAGCATAATTACATACTTTAACATAATTACATACATTAACACACAATGCTATAAACTACCTTAAACAAATATTAGAAAATATTTTTAAAATAAAAAAAATGTTCAAGAAGTTATTATAAACCTGCTCATCCGTTAGAGGCAGCCAATAAATACACGGTGTCGCTTTTGTTTTTCTAAACAAGTCATCTAAAAGTTTTGCCGGACTCTCTTCTCGTTTTTTATCTAAAACGGAGAAAACTGTGTTAATATTTTATTTTATGTTTGCAGTGACATTTCTTAAAATGAACAACTAACATTTTTACCTTTTCGGTTAGCAGAATCTTTTCGTTTGGTTTCTTTTGTTCTATCTTTTTTTTCTACTTCTTTTTGTTTTTTTACTTTTTTGTCTTCTATTTTTTCCTCATTTTTATTTTCATTTTTATCTTCTATTTCAATAACAATTTTAGGCTTACCTCCCATTAAACCTTGAGTGTCTTCCCAAATCTTAAATTGCAAAAATATAAGTTTAGGTATATGTTTTGACCACCTGTTTATTGATTGTAAAATTTTGTTAGCTCCTTAGTTACAAATGCTGAAAGACAACACTTTTCAACAACAAGTTTTTTGTATATTCTTGTGTCGAAAGCAAAAAAGAATGAAAGCGTTCCTTAAGAGTTTAATTAAATTTTCCACAACCCTATTTTCTTATATCCGTATTTGTTAAATTTTCCAAAAAACATTCATACTCGCGGAAAGTGTGGAGTTTTCCTCCACACCGGTGTGTAGCTATCACTCCTAGACACAAGTGTGGAGTTATTTTGTACAATTTTGTGCAAGTAACTCCACACTTCTGAGCAGAAATCAAGTTAGAAAAAGTTAATTTCCACAAAAGGGTGCAAAATAACTCCACACTTGTGTCTAGGAGTAATAGCTACACACTGGTGTGGAGGAAAACTCCATACTTTCCGCGAGAGTGTACCTGTTTATAAGTAGCACCTTATTATTTGATATCAATAATAAGGTGAAGCGATTTAAAAATTTTTTGAAATTTGCTTTTGAGGTTTGCTTATTTTGCAAATCGTTGTCTTTTAACAAGTTCTTGAGGGTTCTATACAAACCAAAATTTTTGACGAATCTTTCTCAAATGTCAACCAGGTACTCAAGAAGCGAAATAAAATGCTTGTTTTGAAAATATTAATTTATTTTATAAAAATTTTTTGTTAAAAAAATAATAGCGAAAATGTACCTAAAATTATTGTTTTTTGCAAATTATGTAAAAAAACGGGGGTTTTTAAGGCAAAATAAAATTAAATTTTTTAGTTAATTCCAATAAAAAAACCACCTTTTCTACGCGATTTGTAAAAAAGCAAAAAATTGAAGTACATGTTAACTGTATTTATACATGTTAACTGTATTTATTTTTAAAAAAAATTCTTATAAAATAAAATAATTTCAAAACAAGCTTTATTCCGGGGCTAGAATACCAGGTTGACATAGTTATGAAAATAACAAATTCACTAATATTAGGACCCATTAAAATATTTGGGTCCGAAAAAAGGGACCTCAAGAACTTATCTAAATCTAAAAATAATTTTTCACTTTTCTGTTATAACTAAGAGAACATCTCAGGAATGTTTATTTTCAAAATTTTTTGTATGAAAATAGTTCCACCCTAACCAATAAGTAAGCATTTTTAACTACCAATTAAATTTTATTCATAACTATTTTATATTTAAAATTATCACACCTGTGTATTTAATGCAAAATCGACTTTTAAGACCTTTGGTGTTCCTGACGGCCACTTTAATCCATGTAAAGCATTTCTTGTTGCTGCAGCTTGCTCCTCAGAGGACAGCTAAGAAATAAAATTTTTTAATTAACTCTAAACTGATAAATTTTTAAAAATTATCAAACAAAAAACATAATTATTTCAAGAATATACTCTGAGCTTTGGCTGAAATCCAGAAAATCTTAAAAAAAAATTCTTATATTATAAATGGCATAATCCATTAATAATGAGGAATAATCGTTTATATGATTACAAAACTTAATTGTAAAAATACTGCCCTGATAAAAAAGATTACAAAATATTCATCTTGCACAATTTGCAATATACTTAATACTCATATGTGAACCATACAAACTGTTTAAATTTTTAAGTTGTATTTATTAATGAGTTTTCATATAATAAATAAAAATTTTGCTATAACTAAAAAATATTGATTTAACTAGTTTTAACTATAAACTAAAAAATGGAACAAGATGGATATTTTACAGATACTGTTTTTTCTTATCAGGGCAGAATAGTAGTAGCACAGCAACCCCCCACCCCCACCCCATTTAAATCAAAAGATTGAACAAAGGTAATTTTTATAAGTATTATATGTATATAAACAACAAACAACTATATGTTATATTATAACTATATGTAACCTAATAGTGAAACGGATTAATATAACAATTGTGGATAAGTGGATTAAAGCATGAAACTTTTTTTACATGTTGAAAATAAGTATATAAATCATTTAAGATATGGTGACACATTCAGCTATACGAGCTAGAGCCCTTTTAGCACAAGACGTGTTCAAGACATATAAATACATATTAACTCATATTACTATTGGTCTTATACATCTTAAACATATGACGTGCCCACAGTGTCAGTTCAGTGGACCTGGATATTAAAGTGTCATTAGGTTGTGTTATTCTACATTGACTAAGTTAAACAACACAAACATAATTGCACAAAAGGCTAAGAATCATACTTAGTGATTTGTACACAAAAAAATGTGCTTTCAATAGACTAATGCATGCTGAAACCTACCAAGCAGATAATGAAACCAACTGTGTATAATGTGTGTGTATTTATTTTTTTCTTAGTTATTAGCTTGCGTTAAAGAAAAGAGGTTAGGCATAAGTATTAAAACATATTGTCTAGCTGATCTAGCTAGACTATATGTTGATCGCTTGTCCCAACTAACTAATGTTATAGCTATTTTCTTACCTCAGCACCCTGACAAATTTTAGTTCTGGTTGATTTTTAACTTTCATGTTAGTAAAAAAAATAAATCAAAAACATACTCAAATGTTCCAAATCATCCAGCTATCTTAAACCGTGTTCTCATAAAGATGCTGAAACTCACTTTATATTACATGCATACCATGCTGCAAAGGTTGGTTACAAAATTATTGCAATACATACAGTAGATACAGATGTTTTCTTTTCATAGCAATATCCACTGTATTGGCTTGTGCTGTGAATTGCATTTAAACTTGAAAGCATTTCCATTATATTGCAATGTGAGAAATAGCCAACAGTCACAGACCATTAAAATCAAAAGCTTTACTAGCTTTCCATGCATTTACTGGTAACAATACAATCCAAGTTTTTTGCTAAGAAAAAGATACTGCATGGTTTACTTGGTCCTCATTTAATGATGCAACTGATGCATTTTTGACGCTTTCTACAGCTTGTAATCTAATGACAGACAAAACAATAGCGGTGATAGAAATGTCATTTTATTGTATGACCAAACATCTATGTAAGTATTTTTTTACTTAAAAGTATTTTTTTACTTAAAAGAACTGGCAGATTGACAACATTTCACCCAAAGGTGATGCAATAATGCAACATATGAAGCATACAGCGTATAAGAAGTATGTTTAAAGTCAAACATCGATAGTATTTCTATCTTTACCTAGCATAAGTGACTAGGGTTGGAAGCTAGAAAAAAGTGATTGTCATTGTTTAAAATAACAATCACTTCCTTTTTAGCTGGCTTTTAGAGCGCTTGTTTTAGAAGCAAGAAATCCAGGCTTCAAAGCAAGCTCTGGGCAAATTTGGCACCATCAGTAATGAAAGAGGCATAAACTTCCTAGTTAAATCGCTTTCTGCTGTGTTGTGACAAAACCATAAGGTTTTCTTGGGGCACCTATATGGATGATGCTTCATGAAGCTGATATTAACTGTCCCGAATTAATTCGGTTTGGATGTAGGACATGTACAACATGTTGCTGTAAATAATATTGTGATTTTTGCAACCAGATTGCTTCCAGTAAAGCAACTAATATATAATTGATATAATTTACCTTCCCTAAGAATTTAGTGAAAATTAGTTTAATGGTTTAAAATTTATGAAGATTTCGATAAATCCAAAACAGCCATTACCACCATTTTGGATTTCAGCCAGTTCCGGTTCTGCCACCCATTACTACCATATCACAAATTAATCAGCATAATTTTCAAGTAATTGGTGAAACTTTTATGCTTTTATCCACTTGTGCATAATTTCAGTCATTTTTAATGCTAATCTGCTGCAATAAAACACTATATGTAAAAATTCAAAAACTTTACAAGCAATAAAATAAGCAATTCCTCGGCCATCCTTTGTACATCCCTTTGTGTGTGTGTGTGTGTGTGTGTGTGTGTGTGTGTGTGTGTGTGTGTGTGTGTGTGTGTGTGTGTGTGTGTGTGTGTGTGTGTGTGATATAATTAACAATAGCTAATTTTAATCCTATTTTTTAAATTAGGATTTAGAATCAAAATTTTGATAAGCAGTTAAATGTCTATAAAAAAAATATTAAAAGCCATGCAGCTAGCATTCCAATATAAGTACAATACAAAATGACATTAAGTTATATAAAATCAAAATAACAACTAAAATATATTAATTCAGTAGTCAAAATATATAAAACAGAATAATAAGCAAATTATACAATAAAACGAATAATAAACTTCAACTTTCTACAATAATTTACTCTTGTTATACTGCCTTTGTAATTTGTATTGCTAGCATTGAACTTACTTGAACATAACAGTGTGATTTGACTTGATTAATCCAAAAACCATTTTCTGATATGGTACCTGTTCTCCCTATTAAAACTTTTAATTGATTAACAGTAAATGGTCGTACTAAACCAGTTATATGAATATAACAAGATACAGGATTCCTAGCTGGGCTAGGAGAACGATCTCGTTTTCCTTGCATTTCACTATCTTCATCTACATAAGTCGGTTTGGCAAAAATAATGTCAACAGATTTTGGAGCAGATTCACCTGAAAAAAAAATATTCAACTTTAAGACAGTTTAAAACTAACGAATGAAAACGTTGAACCACTTGAAATTTTCATGTAGTTTATTTGCAGTACTAAAGCAATACCCCCTTGATAAATCTTGACAGGTCGAAGACTTGTGCTGCAATTAAAAAGAACTTCATGAAAAAATATTTTTAATCCAAAAAATGCTGCAGAGTACTTAACTAGTTTGAAGTTCATGCAATGCAAAAGGATAGTATAATTTAACCAGTATACAAATTTTTATGTGTAACAGTTTGTGATACGATAAAAACTTTGGTAAAAATTGTGCATAAGTAAAATGGTTATCAGTTGTATATGGTAAATGTTCAATTGCCCTTATTATGAAATTCAGGTAGCATATTCCGTCATTCAAATTGCAACAAAAAATATTTGAATTGTTCATATGAAATCTGTTGAGAGCAAAGCATTTGTGTTATAATATCTTTCTATTTCTAAAGCTTCCATGCAATATCTTCTAATATTCTGTCATAAAAATAGCAAAAACTGTTTGCATTTGGTGAGATCATGCTGAGTCAAGTTTTTTTTCTTCTTTTAATTACTAAAAACCTGGATAATTAAGTTTACTCGTTTATTGCTATCAAAGTGTTTAAACTGTTATCTTTATTTCACAAAAATTATTCAGTTATTTAACTATGTAGTTATTTCTTCTTTAATGTCAATTTATGAAGAATAAATTACATTTGAACAAATCTTTTAATGATAATTATGTGATCCATTAAGGATTTAGATAACACTCATCGCAGCATTTTTGTAAATTTTAAATAAATCATCTAGTAGATCATGTGACATATTAGGTTGAAGGCTAGTTGCAGGTTACCATGTAACTAAAAAAATACTCTTTATTCTCTTCGTAGTTTTTAATTTTTTTTTTTATTGTTAGTGTAATACTTTTCAATTATAAATAATCTTCAACCACCAAAAATGATCCAAAAAATCATCGTGTGATGATTATTAACATATCTGCATCGTCTTTAGTGCTTAACTGGATTAGGAAAATGGAGCAAGAACATTAAAGAACTAATAAAATAAAAATACAATATAAACAGGAATAAAAAAAGCTTCTGAAAGAATCTTCATTAGAAATGAAACTAACCTGCATCTTCAACAACTAGAACTTCAGGATTGGTCCGTTTTCCCAAAGAAATAATTTTTCCTGATTCAACTTTGACTTTTCTTCTATTAGCATTCGAAGCTCCAGCTAAAACATTAAAAATAAATACATTGAAAAATAATCACACTCTCATATACTCATATTGAATTTGTAAAAAGAAGACTGAAATAATACTATCACGATCATCCTCTTCTTGATAATCCAATTCTGGCTGATCATCTGATACAAGAACTGTGGTTTTATCTTCAGTTATTAACTTCTAATGAAGAAGAAAATATTATTATGTAACATAACAACAAGTAGACAACATATATATATACATATATATATATATATATATATATATATATATATATATATATATATATGCGCCAACAATCTATTTTATTCAGTCGTTGAAACAATACTTTTAATAACTAATATTTTATTTTTAGTAATTAGAATTTTTTTTTGTTTAATTTCACTTAAACAAGATTTAAATTGAAAAAAAAAAATTAAAGCATTTATAAAAAGTCTTAAAAAAACACTTTATAACTGTAACTATAATCTGGAGACATTTGAAAAAAGTAATTAGAAGATACATACTTTAATTGACTCAGAATTTTGGTCTGATATATTTTTAGATGTTGATCCCCAGCGGCGCTTTCTTTTTGCAGCTTTTTCCTCTACACTTTCAACAGAACCTGAAAATACGATTTCTATTTAAACATTATATTTTATATTTATTTCGCCATTTAGTTGATTTTATTTGTTTATTATATGAACTATATATATTGGTGATATTGTTTACATGATATTTATATTTATACTTATGACTAGATGTTTTTAGATAAAATATGAAATCATGATTCCATGTTTTGTCTATATTGGTATGCACACCTACTTTTAGCCAATGCCAATAGACCAATGCAAACCAATATGGATGCATTGTTGGTTGTTGGTATCCAAGGCTTATGCGTATGCCTCTGCTAAATGGTTGATGCAGCAGTAAAAACCTAATTTAAATAATATCTAGCTTGATATTGCATTATAAACTTTGATATTTTGCCACATGTTAATATCAACCATTGATAATTTCTATTGTGAATGATATCTAAATACTTTGCAACAGAGTGAATGAGCACAGCAAAGTGTACATACATTACCTGACATAAATAGGGGTAACACATGAATTAATAATTTTAGATAAATTTAAAAAGAACGCAAAAATATTATATAGATGAGTATACCACAATATGTAAGAGCAATATGATAACCAAAGGTGAAATAAGAAGAGGAGATCCAGGCTCGTTTCAAACCTGGATCTCCTGCTTATAAAGCAAGCACTGTAACCACTGCGCCACGTTTCAAGTTTCATTAAAAAAGAAAACAAAACTAAAAAAATAGGAAACTAAAATAAAGAAACAAACAAAAAAAAAATAATAATAATTTAAATAATTTGTGTACTGTTTAAATTTTGTTTCTTTAGGGTTGTTATTTTCAGCAATAAAATTGGATAAGGCAAATAAAAAAAATATTTTATTTATTAGTTAAAAGAAAAATAATTTAAAAAATGACTAGTGGTGAGATTCGAATCACTGACATTCGGTGTACAAAGTAAACTCCTTATCTAAATAAGCTAAACTTATACATAGTTATGAACAAATAAATGTAATTAGATAATAAAAAAAGTTATACATAAAGTATACGTGTGCATTACATAAACATATTCATTATAGGGACAATATATATTTGTTGCATTAAAATTTTACAAGTTTTACAAACAAATAGCAATTTATATTTTTGCTTTCCTATTTTTTTTTTTTTTAAATAATTAGTAAAATCATTCTTTTTAATGTCGAGTTAAAACTTAATAATTATTAATAATTGTTATGCAATTATTAGAAATAATTATTAATAATTGTTTAGGTATATTCCACCAATATCATAGTAGGCCAAAATGGAGAGGATGGGTAAAAAAACTCAAAAAATTTGGGAGGTGATAGGATTTGAATCACGGACATTACGTGTATGAAGTAAACACCTTATCCATATAAGCTAAACGTGCACATACTTAAGAATAAATAAAAATAATTAGATAATAAAAAAAGTTATATATAAAAGTATAAACATGCATTACATAGACATATTCATATAGGAACAGTATATACTTGCTGCATTAAAATTATGCAAATATATTTTACAAATAGCAATTTACATTTTTGCTTTCACTTGTATCTAAATCTAAAATTTAAAGAATTTTTGTAATCATATTAGATTAAGTAATGATTATGTCATCATATTATTATGTAATGATTATGTCGTCATATAAGATTATGTAATGATTATGTCATATAAGATCATATAAGATTATGTAATGTGAGAAATTGAAAAATTAGCACATCCTCAGCAAAATGATTTAAATTTTGGTCAATTTTAAGATAATAAAAAGGACTAACACTTTTAAAACTAAATACCAAGATGTTTTATAAAATAAAATAGAAAAACACACACATACAGCTTCTTCTTCTTTATTTTTTTTATTTTCTAGTTTTTTAAAAAACCTATATGTATTTTTTGTAAATTATTTCACATAATTGAATTAAATTAAAAATATTTTAACAATAAATTTAATAAAATTTTAAAAAATAATAAAAACTTATAAGAAAATAAAGATAAATCTCAGAACTAACCTTGTAACGAAACACGTTTTTTCAGAGGCACTGGTTTGACAGTTTTCTAAAATATAAATACATAAAAAATTAATGTTAATTGTAAATATTGAAGTAAAACAAAAAAATAACAACTATAAACCTGTTTTAACTTCTTTACATTTTCTTCATCATCTTCACTAACTATTTCTCCTTCGTCGACTAATGCTTCATTTGTAATCTCTTCTGTTTTTTGATTTTGAAATTCATTGTCTCCAACTTTGGAAGAATCATTATTTTCTTCAATAAATAATTTTGGGTCAACTTCAATACTATCTTCTTCATATTGAAATTCTTGGCTAGGATCTGTGTTACGTGCTTCTTTATTATCAATTTCTTCATCAATCTCTTCGGTATTGTTTGCTTTTATAAAAATCATTGTTTCAAAATAAGATATATGAGAATAATAAATTCAATTAAATAATTAGATTAGACAAATTAACTTATATGGTAACTATATTATTTCAAACTTGTAATTTTTGTTTCAGATGAGTAAGGAAATATTAAGCATAGTAAACATTTGAAGATCATCTCCTTCATCAAAATGCTTCATCATCATTAACTCCACAAATATTGACATATGTTATTTGTATTTGTGACAACTAGCAACTACAATTAGCAACTCATTTTATTAACTTTTTTTTTTTTTTTTACTAAATTTTTTCCTTGTTTTTAATTTTTAAACAAGAATGTGGTGCAGCAATTTTATAAATTCTTTTTTACTTTAATCATAACTTTCATATATTCTATATAAATTCCACATTTGTAAACCATGAAACAAAAAAACAAAACAAAAACAAGACAAACAAGGTGGCACTTGTTTACAAAACAAGTGCTTGATCCCCACCACATCCCTGGTAGTACCACATTTACAATATCTTGCACTTGTTAACAAAACAAGTGAGCACTTGTTAACAAAACAAGCGATACTAAGGTGCCAAAATGAGTTGTGTTTATATTAAAGAGAATGATTAAAAAAAAATATTTGGACTGAATTTTTCTGAGTAAAAGAAATAAATAAACATATACCAAGAAAAATAATCTGTGTTGTTTCATTTGAAGCTCACTATCTCCATGTTAGCCAGTTGCATTAAGTCTTTAAAATATGTGCCGCAATCTACAGACTTTTTAATTTATTCAAGCTGTTTAATTCAAATATAACTTTTAGTATATAACATCATTGTAGAATTTCGATAAAAAATCTCAAAATTCTTTTTTTCATTAAATTATAGAATTTTTTTTTCCAGCATAAATTACTATAGAATTTCTTTAGTTATTTTATTTTCTAAATTTTGCTAAAATATGAATAAAATATTTCTATATATGAATAAGATATTTTAAGCTTATTTATTGCTATAAATTATATTTGTGTTATATTTATTGTTATTAAATAATTATCCTTATTAAGATTTTGTTAAAAAAATTATTTGGTATTATTTAACTTTATGAAAGTTTTCATTGCGTACAAACATTCTTGAAATTCTTATTTAATCATGTGAGAAAATATTTAATGAAAATTATTCTGTAAAATATGTATTTCTTATTTTATTTTATCTTTAAAATTGAACAATTATTGCTAAAGATTGTAAAAAAGTGTAGCAACATCAAGTCAATTACAAAATTGAAATCGTTTAATGAAAAACTTTTTATTGTCAATTTTAGTAGTTTTTTGATTTGTAATGTTAAGAGACAGGTTTTTATGCAAATACTTGCCATATACGACATTTAAGATGGGAAATACTAAATAATAAGTTTTTAAACACATTGCAACACATTTTTAACACTTTGAAACACATTTTTAACACATTGCAACACATTGACAATTTTATTATCCTGTCTTAGACAACTACCATTAAACATTCATTATTGCTTCAATTTATAAAAAGCTGTCTGTAAATTTGTTAAGCGTAAAATCTGTAAACATTAACTAAAAATTAAAGACTACCATAAATCTGTCTTAGACAACTACCATTAAACTTTGACTACCATAAATCTGTCTTAGTCAACTACCATTAAACATTCATTAATGCTTCAATTAATAAAAAGCTGTCTGTAAATTTGTTAAGCGTAAAATCTGTAAATATTAACTAAAAATTAAAGAATTCAGCAAATTTACAAAAATTAATTATTATATATAAATATAAGAATTTGTAAAATGTCATTTCAATAGGAGAACAAAATCGATAAATCAATAAACGGCTAGAAATAAAGTTCACATTATTTATATAACAAAAAAAAAGATTTAGAATATATAAGGTGATCAAAGTTTTTTTTTTTATATTCATTATATTTAAGAGTAAATCATAAAAATCTTAATTTTATTTGGTTTTTGCGCTCCATAAAAAAACATTCTTTTTTTAGCTTCCTATAAAATTTATAGAAAAGTTATATGATTGATGATAAACACTTATTTTAAAAACAAATAAAATAAAAACAAATAATATTGATTCAAAAAAAATTCTACAATGACATTATATACGAAAACTCTTTGGAATTAAACACACTTAAATTAAAAAGTCTGTAGATTGCAGCGTATAATTTAAAGACTTAAAGCAACTGGCTAATATAAAGACAGTGAGCTTTGAGTAAACAAAACTAGTATTTCTGGGTATACGTTTATTATTTTGTTTTAATCAAAAAAATTCAGCCCAAGTATTTTTTTTATTATTCTCTTTAATATGAAAAAAACTTGTGTCGGCACTTTGGGATCCCTTTAAATTGTAGAGAATTTTGAGGTGTATTAAAATATATAAAAATCAAATCATTTTTAATAAAAAGTTTTTCAAGTAACTTTATCATCTTATATCATCTTATTTAGAAAAAGATTCTCCACAATATGATCAAAAAATATTTTAAAAATGTTTATTCAATAAACAAGTAGGAGCAAAAAATAATAGTTGTCATAACTAATTTATTCTATCCACTATTTCATTTTACCAACTTTTATGCTATATTTATAAAATAACCTTTTTAAACATTTAAATATTTGAAATTTCCCACTAACAAAAGTATAAATTTAATTAGGCTGATAAATGTTTACTACTTATATTCTATTATTAAATTTACTTTTGCATTTCAATGCCATGTTATTGAAAAAAATGTTTTCTCTGCAATAAAAACGATTACAGATGCACACAAAAATCTAATTTCTGATTTTTATTTTTAATGTTTTTTACAAAGTACAAATAACTTAAATAGTATATATTTTTATTAATTGATTTTAAAATTAAAGCACATGTTCTTTAAACCTTAAGTGAATATTTAAAATATAAATATTTTAGATAAAGTTTTCAAGATCTGTTATTTGTATCTGTTATTTGTATTGTATTTTTGTTAGGCTTACTTCTATTTCAATTAAATTTGGGATATCTTAATTATTATTTTAAATTTAAAAAAACTTGGATTGACTGTTATTAAAAAAACAATAAACTATATATGACTTTTGCATTATAAATATTACTTTTGAAGTCATTAGTTTACTGTTTTTGAAAATTTTTTGCAGTATGATAAATTTAAGTTAATTCAATCACATAAAAACATTATTCATGGTTTTTAGTATACTAAAAATTTGAAGACCACAAGTATTTCTAGATATCACTATTATACCTAATCGGGCATCAAATAGTTTTTCCAAAATCTTTATTTTTGGAAAAACAATTCAAGGCATGATTGTTTGAATTAAATTGTTTAAAATAAATACAGTTATTTAAGGTCAAGAACTTACACCATGAAAGGCTATGAAGAAGACCAGCTGCCAGATTTAAAAACTCAAAAGACCATGCTAATAATATTATGAAGATTGATTACCCAATCAAATTGGTCTTCAAATTTTAAGTATACTAAAAGCCATGAATAATGTTTTAATACAATTGAATTAATTATAGCGAGAAACTTTAAACCAATTTCTAAAGATTGGAACCACAGAAGCCATTATCAAGCAGACAGGAAAACAAGATTTAATTAGGCTTTTGTTAAATACAAAAATATTTAAGAAAGTACTTAAGAGAGTTCTGGAAAACACTTTTGTAAGACTGTGACAAAAACGTTGTCTAGAGCACTTTATGTTAAGAGTTAATATGCTAAATAACTTAAACAACAGTTTAAGTTATTTAGCATATTAATTCGGGAAGCGGGAGTGAATTGGATGTCCTGTTTCTCTGGAAATACAAAAAAAGTGCGGTAACTAGATGAGTGCCAATAGTTTTGTCTTATCTTTGGCAGAGCAAATAAGATCAGGTTCACGTATGAGGTATTTGCCCTAAGTAATGACAATTTAAAAAAATTGTCATTAACAAAGAATACATGAATATTTTTTATTATCATTAAGAGTCACTAGAACCAAATCTCATTGATAAAATGTGAGCTTAATCTGAACCACAAGTAATCAATCTTTGTTCTCAACAATAATTTTTTGCACTGTTTTTTTGACAATGAAAAAGCTTTAGTTGTCAATGGAAAGTTGTTTTTGTAAAAAAAATGATTATAATTAGAATCAACAGCTATACAAGGATAAAACCTTCAAATAAAGTAAAGCTTGACTAAAAATCAACTAGAAATAAAAGCCCCCATATGTGCCTGAATCTAGGAGATTATAAAAAAGACCCAATATTCAGCGAAAAGACAAAAGACCTCTTGCCTAAAAAACCAATCACAAAATTATCACAATAGGAATTAAGGCATTAAGAAACTGATGTAGAAGTATGATATAAATAAGTATGATAAGAAATATGTTGTGAAACTGATGTAGAAGTATGATGTATCGATATGTGGTGAATCTGATGTAGAAGTATGATGTATCAATATGTGTTGAATCTGATGTAGAAGTATGATGTATCGATATGTTGTGAACCTGATGTAGAAGTATGATGTAAAAATTTTAGTGAGATCATAGCATAGTCTGAACTGAATCATCTAAAAAAGAATGAGCAGAAACTGAGCACTAAGTGAAGTTAAAGTGAGAATGAAAAAACAAAGGTAAGTGATCAAGGTTGTCTGTAATAGGAGTCACAATGTTAACTTTTTGAGTAAGAGATTACAGACAAAAATTTTGAGCTTTAGTGTTAGCAGGATTAGTGGTACTACAACCTTACAATTTAAGTAATTTTTGTTCTAAAAATATTTATTTAAAACTTGTATAAAATAAAATTAAAAAACTTTTAAAACAAATATTTAAACTAGAAAATATTTGTTTCATCTACTTAGACACATTTCATTTTAAACATTAAATAGTTAAAATAAACAATAAACATTAAAATAAAGATTTGTACTGTAAATTAAAATTAAAACTTGTACATGAACTAAATCAACAGTTTTTATAACTTTTTAAAATTATATTCACACCCCTGAGGATGCAAGAATTGATACAGCTAAATATTTGTATTTTTGAATACTAATAAAAAATTTGTGATATGAATACTCAATATAACACTCAATAAAATAATGCTTTTAAAAGACTGGTTCAATACTGACCAATGATGATATAATACTGATAGTAAGTGACAACATCCAATCTAATTTAAATACTTAGCTGTGCACAGCATGATGTAGCATAAAATCTAACTATTAGAACATGTGAAATGCTTCTAACATTTTTCTAAATCTTTTATATGCACTGTTAAAACATTAGGAAACGTGATAAAATACATAAAGAACTGTAAAAAATATTTTACAAGCAAAATATTTGAAATTTAAAAAATGGTAAAACTTTTTGTCTTTTAAATAATTTACCAAAAACCTCAAAAAATTAAACAACTACAGGCCTTGTTTTAAAGCGTTACGCTTAGAGCGATTTACTTACGCCTTAAGCGATTTTTACGTACGCGTAGAGCTGTTTTGGTTAAGCTACTTTTTATCATTTTTTAACTTTTAAATTAGCGGTAACATAAGAGAAGTAATTAATTTAAAAAAAAACCACATTAACTTTTAAATAACGATATGTAAAGATATTTATTAAAAAAAAGAATTTACTTGAAAAATAATTGTTGTAACTTTTCATCGCAATATATCTTTCCTTTTTATAGCAATTAATTTGACGCTAAACTTTTTATCCAAATATTTAGCAACATGAAAAATTGTTTGTCAATCCTTAACTACAAATTTTTTGCAATGTTTTTAATAAAAATTAGTAATTTTTTAAAGTTTTTAGTAAAAAACTTTAAAAAAAACTATATTCCATGTTTATTAATACAGAAAACAAATGTTTTTTGCAATATAGATTTTTTAAGAATTTTATACTGAATTTATAATAAAAAACACTTGCAAAAAAATGTGTAATTAAGAATTGACATTTTTTTTAATATCTCAAAAAATATCTTAATATTTTTGTTATCATGATAACAAAAATATCAAGACATTTTTTCGAGATATTAAAAAAAATGTTTTTGCTTTTCTTATTAGTTAAAGGTATATAGATACCTTTACCTTTAAGTTATGCAAGGGGAGGGGGTCGGCACAGAAAAAAAAAATTACCTGTTACTCGCAATATTTGAATGAAGACAATTTGTTAAATTTCTTCTGTGTGCGATTCAATAATTATTTTTTCATAAATCAAGTTATATTATAAGGTAAAGAAATCATGAGTAGACTACAATATCCGCTGATGAAAGTAATATTACGTTGAATATATTTATATAACGGTTTATATTTTGTTTTATATAATATATAAAACAAAATATAAACAATATTTTGTTTTATATATTATAAAACAAAACAAACTAGTATATAAAAACCTTGTATATTTCTATTATCTCTAAATTGTTTAAAGTTCGAATATGGATTGTATTTTGAAGGACGAAAGATTTAATTTAAAAACTTTTAAATCTTGGGACTTCGCCGATGCGATGATCACAGAAAAAGAGAAGACTTACGTTATTAAAATCAAATGTAAGTTATGTGATTTTCATCAAAATAAAATATTATCCAAAAACAATGGTGCCGTAAGGGCAACTGCCCAACGGTTTATAAATTACACAAGTCATGTTAAAATATTATAACATGTTACTATATTTTAATTAAGTTGATATATAATTAAAAATAAAAATATAGTTCAATAAATAAATTATATTTGTTCTTAACAAAGATTACCTCATATTTATTCTTTTTTTTAAGTTAAATTGTAAGTAAGTTAAATTGCTTGCAAACGAAAAAAAAAAAGAGTTTTTTAATTATACTTAAAATGAAAATACTTTTGAGTTTGTTTATAAGTTAAGGAACTTAATTTTTAATAAACAAATTCTTACGAACGTTTTTTATAAACAGATACGATTCAAATTATTAAATATACTTAAATTATTTCAGTTGAGTATTTTTTTAAGTTTGCACGATTAAAGTTTTGCGTAGAAGTATTTGTTTTTTTGTTTTAAGAATAATTAACAAAAGAGTTTGCATAATTAAGACTTATATTTAATTTAATTTTTTTTTTTAATTTCCTAAAATTAAAAAAAAAAAAGATTTAATCGTTAAAAACGATTTTTCTCTATAGCTCTGTTTCTTTGTGATTTGTTTAAAAAATAAAATATTTTTACAATAACATAAAAAATTTATGATTTAAATTCCTGGCCAACGCGTTCTAAACTATGTATCAAAAATATGCTCAAAGCAGACAAAACTTTTTTATACTTTTATAAAACGCAAGTTGAAACGCTAAACAAGATAAATTTAAAAAATATTTAAAAACCTAAATTTTTCTTTGCTAGTCAAAACAAAATCGTTGTTTAAATAATTAACATGGGTTTGTGTTTATCAATGTTAATATTTTTTGTTTACTCTAGAAATTTTTAAAAATAAAAAAAAATCATTATTATTTTTTATTCAATAACGATTAAAAACAATTATTCAAAAACAAATTTCAGAAATAATTAAATATATATATATATATATATATATATATATATATATATATATATATATATAATATATATATATATATATATATATATATATATATATATATATATATATATATATTACTAAATAATAATGAACTAAAATTAATAATAAAATAACAATTGAAAACATTACAAAATTTTCATAATAAATTTACATTTAAAATGTTTATAGTTATTTGAGTTAATTGTTAAATTGAACTAGTTTGCGGTTATTTAATTATTGCGGTAGTTAAAACACTTAACGTCTATAAAAAAAAATAAAGATAATTTTATGACGTCAAAATTGCATTAAGCTAATGCATTAAGCACTTTTTTATTCAAAACAAGGCCTGCAACTATTATATATCTCATTAATAAGAATAGCCCTTAAAAAAACTGCAAAGAATTTCATTCATTGTTCAATTCAATTAAATTAAAACACTTAGTAGTTTAATGATTTGATAAACTCTAATTTATATGAAAATTAAGTAAATTATAAAAAAATTTAGTTGACTGACTTGGATCATTAGAGTGCTCTTCAGACATATGGAGAACATTAGTGATTGAACTTTCTTTATCACAGTCAATATTTTCTTGGTTCCTATAACAAATAGAAACAAAAACATATATATACATGTGCGTGTGTGTATATATCAGCCCTCAGAATTAGGGTTGGCATTTGACAATGCCGACCTAAATACTGACCTTAAAAGGTTTGAGGTCGGCAAAAACTTGCCAACCTTATTTCTATGCTTTATGGTAACCTCTTTATGTCCATTTTTTTTTTGCTAACCCTATGCCAACATCAAACAGCTGAAAGTCAGCAGTTTATTGCCGACATCATTTTTCCTAACTCCAAGGCCTGATATATATATATATATATATATATATATATATATATATATATATATATATATATATATTCATTTAAAATCAGTTTTCTCTTTCTAAAATTGAATGCCACCGATGATAAAGTGCTGGCTATTAGCGTACCGTTTGTGTTCTAAAAATATAATTTTTTCAGAAACGTAAGGCATTTTGGAATTGATATTTGGACAAACATTGCACAGAAACAAAACAATTTCTTAAAAACGCTAGTGGTTGTGGGATTGATATTTAGACAAACAAACAATTTGACATCACCAAAACAGTACGCTATTTAGACTTGTGTGCGCGATTTCAAAAATTCATTTTTATTTGCTACTAAAATTAAAATAGAAACAGCACAAATATGTTTAAATTAATTCTAAATGAAATAATTAAAAAACTAGGCAAAATGAATGCCTAGTTTTAAAAAAAAATTTCTATAAATATTAAACAAAATAAATAAAATAAAAATGGAAAGACAAACGTTTTATTTAAGTTCTAAATTAAAATAGTTTAAATAAAAACGACAAAATATATATTTAAAAAAAAAACCTTATAAAAATGCTTGTAAAACTTCAAGTAAAAACTATGAAACTCAGCATCAATATGTGCTAAATAAACACACCAAATAATTTTTTTTTTGCCATTCCATTAACTGCATTAGGTCTGATAAAGTTGTTTTGTTTAGAAGCGGTAAAGAGTAAGTGTTACAACCCTCGCGCTATGTAGAGTTGATTTTTGAAAAAAGTGAGCATATATATATATATATATATATATATATATATATATATATATATATATATATATATACTTACTAAAGCGTGTTTCGATAAGCATTTGCTCACTTTTTCTGCTTACCTTAAGCTATACCATTTTATTTCGAAAAAACGAAGAATGATGAATAAAACATATCTATATCTATATCTATATCTATATATATATATATATATATATATATATATATATATATATATATATATATATATATATATATATATATATATATGTATGTATATATATATATATATACATATCTATATCTATATCTATATCTATATCTATATCTATATATATATATATATATATATATATATATATATATATATATATATATATATATATATATATATATATATATATATATATAATATATATATATATATATATATATATATATATATATATATTTATGTATATATATATATATATATATATATATACATATCTATATCTATATATATAAATATATATATATATATTATATATATATATATATATTATTTATATATTTTATATATATATATATATATATATATATATATATATATATATATATATATATATATATATATATATATATATATATATATACATATCTATATCTATATCTATATATATAAATATATATATATATATATATATATATATATATAATTTATATATATTATATATATATATATAATATATATATATATATATATATATATATATATATATATCAGGCCTTGTTACGAGATTTCGCTGCGTAACGGAAAAGCTGAACGTGAATAAAAGTAACTTTACTCAATAAAGATATTTACATTGTTAAAAGTTAATTTACGTCAGTTGCGTTTTTACTTCATTGTAATTAAATTTAAAATGACATTAAAAACTATTGTTAGTCTTTGAAACGAAATAGCTTTAAATTGTACAATGTTGTTATAAAAAAAAAAAAAATTCAATGTTGGTTAAAAAAAAGTCTTCTTGTATTAAAATCTTATACTTATTTAAACTTAATTTTTTTGCTTTTAAACATTCGTTTTAAGGTTGTTTTTTTTTTAATTTTTTTTTTTAAATAATTTAAATTTAACACTTGTATATGGTTGATTTTCTTAAAGGGATTTAAATGTACTTATAACTAAACGCATAGATTGGGTTTTCCCTTTTAAAAAAAACGTTTGTTTTGATAAAATAAATGTTGTAAAGAAACGAAATTTACTGCTTTTTCGACTTTGTTTTTTTTTATTTCCATTAAACTATTTTATTTTTATGTACAGTGAAACCTAATATTTTTTTTCTCAATCCAAAAAAAAATTGTGTTTTTGGTTTTCAGATGTTATAAGCAGAATTTGTTTTTAACAAATATTTATAAAAATTTTGAAATTTATGTATCTTATATTTATAGCTCAAGTACTAGTTTTGTTTTTAAAATAAAATAAAGATAAGTTGGGTTTTTAAAGAGTTTATTTACTGATCACGTTATTTTTAATAGGTTTGTATTTTAGTTTGTTCAAGGACGTATTGTTAATACGTCCTTGGTTTGTTTTATAAAAAAAAATTCTTTGGCAAACGGCAAAGGGAAAACCCAAACATAACATTTATAACTCGAGTTTAAAAGTACTGACGTCATTTATTAACTTGTAGTTATAAAATGAATAATGCGCTTCTGTAAATAATGAATGAAACTGTAAAATAATGGAAAAATAAAAACTGGAAAATAATGCGCTTTTGTAAGCGCATCTTTCAGACCAGTATTTGGAACTTACCTGAAACTTAACTAAAATTAAAATAAAATTATATGTAATACGAACATTTTAAAGTAACTTGAATTAAATTTATCAAATCTTTTTTTACTTTAGTAATTTTATAAAAAAAATTACTAAAGTAAAAAAAAATTTGATAAATTTAATTCAAGTTTTAATTAAAATTTTAATTAAAATTCTTACATTTAATTAATGAAAGAATTTTAATTAAATTTAATAAATTTGTTTACTAAAAACTATAATTATTAAAAAAATATTTAAATTTTAAAATAAATTGAAAATATTTCTTTTTTTAAATTTGATTGTTTATAAACTTATGAAATCTAATATTTAAAATTAAATATGATGAAAAGTTTAAACTTAAAACACTTTATTTTCTTTAAGTAATTTTTAAAAACAAAAAAAAAAATTATTAAACAAATTGTTTCTTTAACAAAAAATCTATTAGTTTACAATTGCGGTTAAATGCTTTTACTTACGACTTTAATACTTCTGAATGAACGTCACATAAACGATATAAAAAGATAATTTAAATATTCTTAAAGATAAAAGTTTTTGCTGAACGCATAACTGCTGAACGCGTAGGCAAATCGCCTTTTCGCAGGCAAAATGCGAGCTGCGTAACGCTTCTTAACAAGGCCTGATAATATATATATATATATATATATATATATATTATAATTTAAGACAAAACATCAAAAATATAAAATTTACCATCCATTATCTTCTTGGTTATCTAGTTCAACTAATCTCTCATTTGTTTCTAAACAAAATGTAATTTAAAATAAAAAGAGAATAAATTATGTCAAGGTTCAACATTATTTGAAGCTCTTGAACTTAAACATTATTTTATGAAATTAAATTTATATAAACTTTAAAAAAAATGTAAATCTACCATTATTTATAGCCTCATCATTAACTTCTGAATCAATATTTACTTTACGAGTGCCATTATCTTGAAAATCCTGAGATCTATGAATGGAGTTGGCTAATTCTTCTATAGCATGACTGGAGTCTAATTCTTCACTAAAACTATTTTCAATACCAGACTCTTCTAAAGTTTCTGGATTTTCACTTGAGCAATTAGGTTGATCTGTAAATAATTAAACAATAAACTGGATTAATAATATATAAGTGATACTATATTTTATTTCTTTATTTAATACATATGGTAGATAATAAGTTCAAAAAAATCTTAATATGTGATATAACTCTGCTATGTTGCAATTGATTATATGTATGCATTTTAACAATTAATAATCTTTTTAAATTGAATAAAAAAGGAACTAGACTATAAACATATAACGTAAACAAATTTTTATAGAACTTATAAAAAATCTATATAAAATTAACATGTTTGACATGATTAAAAAAAAAATTCTCATAAGGAATAAAAAATCAATTAGAAAATAATAATAAATAAACAAGACATTTGCCTCAAAATTTACAATCATATAATTATAATAATTACAATAATAATAAGAATATTAATAACAATAACACGAGTAATAATATTAAGAATATCTATAATATAACAAAAAATAAAATTATAATGAAATATCATTATTAAGAATAAATATGAATAACTGATTGACAAGGAAGGTGTCATACATAAAGAAACCTGATCAAAGGAGTAACACAAAATAACTATATTATTAATATTAATTTAAAAAAATAATATTAACAAATAATAATTTACTTTAGTTTTATATAAATTTTATAAAAGTTTTAAATAAAGAAAAAGATAAATTATTTTCAAGTTTTAATTTTTCATACTGATACACAATGCACACAAGACTCTGTTTCCATTCACTGATGCACTGATGTTTAATTATATACTATACCGCCAGCCAAGAACACAAAATGTGAATATATGGCCTCTTGGTCCTATACTGACAATACCTCAAAGTATAGGAAGGTACATTTCGCTTTCCATTATTGATATTTCTAGTTAAAGGTGAATGTATAAATCGAGTTTCTGTGAATAAACGTCTATTTTTAATTTTAATTATATGATTTTAATTATAGTTTTTGCCTTAGAGATGAAAAAAATGTTAGTTCAATTTTTTCCAAGTTCAGAGAAATTAAGTTTGCATTTAGCCAATGAACTAAACCTTTTAGATCTAAGTTTATATTCTTACACAAGGAATGATAAGACTTATTAACATGCAAGATATTAGTATCATCAGCATACAAATGGACTGATGAGAAGAGGACAGAGTATTTAGATCATTAATAAATATCAAAAACAATAGGGGGTCAAAAATAGAACCCTGGGGGAGCACCACAAACTATGTGTTTATTATTTAATTTGTAACCATTATTGCTAACAAACTGCTTACGATTTGAGAGATAAGATCCAAATCAATTACAAGCAACTCCTCGAATTCCATGTTTAAGTTTAGAAACTAAAATGATATAATTAATAGTCTTAAAAGGTTTTTGTAAGTTTATAAAAACGCCACTAACAAAATGACCAGTATCCAGTGTTGTTTTATTTTTTTGGTTATACTTATACATGCATGGCAAGTAGAATGTTTTGATCAAAATCCAAACTGAAATTCATTAAAACAATTAAAGGAACTCAAAAATGAGTATAATCTAGAATACATTAGTTTTTTAAGGAGCTTGCTATTGTTAGGTAGAATAGAAATTGGTCTATAGTTAGTACATGAGAGTTTTGATCCATTTTTATATATTGGAATGACACAAGATAATTTCGAAATGTTAGGAAAAATTCCATTACAAAAAAGGAGATATTAAATAGCTAAGAGAGAATATGAGAAAATTCATAATTAAAATCAATAAGAATGTTTGTGGGGATGCTGTTAGGACCTATTGATTTTCTAGGTTTAAATTTAGATATAAGTGAAGAGATTTCAGAATGGTTTGTTGGAGATATCAGTAAACTATTAAGATTTGGGTGCTTAAGATACTTTTTATAGCTTATGTAACGAGTGAATTTTAAAACTAAGGTTATGAGTTGCATTTGTAAAAAAGTTGTTAAATTCTTTGCAAATAAGAGTTGATTCAGTTATGCAAGTTTTGTTAACTTGTAAGCAATTTGTGGGTACATCATTGATATTTTTGACATTTATTAGACTTTTTATCATTGATATTTTTGACATTTATTAGACTTTTTATGCCTTTCCAATTTTCGAAATGATTTTTTACATTTTCTGAAATTAATTTTTTTTAATGCATTTTCTTAGTCAGTTTAATTAGATTAATTATGGTATATTTATAGCGTTTTTAATTTAATTATATTTGTTGGATTTTTTATTCTTAACATTTTCCCTTGAATAAGATTTCAATTTGAATCGATTTTATTATTCCTTTAATAATCAATAGCTTGAATAGATGCTTGTTGCTCTTAATACTAATTTTTTCAAGTGGCAAAAAAAGTTTAAATTAGTAGTTAACAACAACAACAACAACAACAACAACAACAACAACAACAACAACAACAACAACAACAACAACAACAATAAAAAACACTGCAAAACCTGTTTTTATAATATTAGGTATGCAGAAATTGCATTTTGAATCAAATTTTGTGCTAGAACACTATGCTACGTTTTTGATGTTATGCTTTAAAGTTGTGTTTCATTAACATTTTTTGTATAGTTTTTTTTCTATAAAAAAAATTAATATCAGCTTTAAAATATTTTTAAAACTAGAACACTACAGCTTTACATAGATTAAATAGTTGTTTTTGAAACACTATTTTATTTTTTTTATATACCTATTTTTTATTCAACTGCCCAACTTCATAGAAAATAAACCAAAGCAGATATCTTATATTTTATCGCAAAACAGATATATGTAAGTTTGAAGTACAGTAAACCTAACTTTGAACACTTTTGTGATATTTTTACTTGCTCTTCCTTCACTATTGACAATATTTGAAACTTAACAAAATGAATATAGGGGCTAAGGTTGACTCTTACATAATTCAAATTCAAAATTCAATATCAAAAGTAAAGAATTTTGTCTAACTTTAATTTAATTAGTCATTCAAAGTTACCCCACAAATGGGGTAACTTTGAATGCATATTTTCTAAAAGCAAAACCTATTCAAAAATCCATTTTGTTTTAATTTAATAAAAACAACAGTCTAGCTTCACGTGAATTTATTATTGTAAAAATAATATAATATTATTTCATAACAAACACCCATTTCGTTTTTTATTTTGTTTTAATGGGTATATTTTAAAAGGACTAACATAAAAACAGTCTCATTTGCATTAGTTTCACTTACAAACAATACAAGTGGAACATCTGTACATTTTGCCAAAAAAATCCTTAAAAGAAATTTTTTTTTTAACTTTGAGTCTCCTTTTTCCTTGATATCAACATGAAACATTTGTTATAGTACATTAAAATACATTAACTGTTGTTAAAGTTAATTAACTATTGCTTTAATGTTTTTATTACCATCTGACAGAAACCTTTATAATTATTTGAAAGAGAATTTTATAATCTATTTAAATTTAATTTAATTAAGTTAAAAATATTATTTAAATATTGAAAATAAAATGATCAAAGTAAAGGACCTCGAAAAAAATGATGGAAATTTTTTTCCAAAAAAATGGAGAAAAAGGTAAAGCGTTTGTTGCTAAGCAGTTTATGGAATGGGGTTTACCCAGATTAACTGCTTACGATAAAATCGTAAAATTGGAGAATGGATTTCTAAAAAGAAAAGTTGGAAGTGGTAGAATCGTTAAGGTAGCTACTAAAGAAAATATTACAAAGATTGCTGCATTTTTTGAAAATAAGTCAGGGTGCTCCCAAAAGAAAAATCTCAAGTTTTTAACTGTAGTCAAACTCAAATTTCTAAAGTATTAAAAACAATAACTAAATTTCAAAAACATAACATAACTTTCAAAAAATCAAATCGTCCAGATCGTAGCTATCAGCAGAAGAAAGCTATGTCATAAATTGTACAAAAATTATAAAAACTTGGATTTTGTTATGGATGATGAAAGCTATTTTACCTTAAACAATAGCACATTAGCTGGTAATGATAGGTTTTATGCTGCTATTCCTTCTCAATGTTCTGACAAAGTAAGATACAATTTGCGTAAAAAGTATGAGAATAAGCTTTTAGTTTCTTGAAGCATCAACCCCCGTGGAACAAGCCCTCTTTATATTCATCACATTAAGCAGGCAATCAACCAGTACACTTGTAAAGAGATACTAGAAAAAACTTTACTTCCTCTAGTATCAGAATATTATAAAAAAGACAATGAGTTTATCTTCTGGCTTGATCTAGCTCAATCACATCAAGTCGATCACACGCAAAGTTGGTCATCGACTTTTTAAAATTGAAAAAAATTAAAGTTGTACCCAAAGATATAAACTCAGCTAACGTTCCAGAAGCATGACCAATTTAAAAATTTTTGGGGTGAGAGAGCTGAGAAATTGGAAGAGCTTGAAGCAAGAATTAGATATTGCTATTTAAAGATGAATAAAGAAATTTTCCTTACTCAAATAAAACATCTTTCAAAAAAACTTTATAATATTGCTAAATATGGTATTTGAAATAATTATTTTAATATATTTATAAACTACATATTCTAACATATTAACAGTTGAAATATTAAATAAAACTTCTTAGTTCTTAAAATATTAATTTGTAATCTTTGTCCAAAATTTTATTTATGAGGTGTTAAATAAAGTTAGAACAAAAGAGATTTATTTTTTGCAACTGTCAATTTTCCTTCAATATTTTATGGACCTTTTAAATTAAGAGGTTGCAACAAATGGGTAGATTTACCAGTTATATAACAAGATACTGTTTTCTTCACAACAAAATACTATTTTCTTCAGTTAACTCAAATAATTTTTTACTGAAAAAATTGCTTAGATTATAACTAACAGGAACTTTAGTTCCTGCAATTTGACAAAAAACAATAACAAACCAGTCAAAAAAGCAAATAAAATCAAACCGTCCTGAATTTGATTGTATAGTACATTAGGTGGTCTAACAGTTCTTGTTGCCTATAAATGGTCAGCTTTAAAAACATAACCAGAGATTTTACCAGAGGCACTAAACCTGACTGACTTAACATGTTGTATGATTGCTAATTTTTTCATATTTGTAAAAACTATAAATTTTTCATGTGTTTTTAGATTAAAGAAAAGAATCGCGCAGGCTAACTTAAAAATGACCATCATGGCAGGATGGTCATTTTTAAGTTATCTTGCTTAAGTTGTCTTCAGATTTTACATGCTTAATAAATTTATAAACAAAAATTATGTAATTCAGACAACAAGCTGCTACACTAACTGGGGTAGTGTACAAAATATTCTGACTAATTTTTTGAGAAAAATATCCAAAATATTTAATTCATTTTTTAAGGAACAATAACAACCAATAAACAATATAAAAATTTAAACAATTAAAATATAAATTATTATTAAGACTTATAAATTATTAAGACTTATAAATATATTATAAGTTTTATAAATTCTTGTCATCATTACAACTTGATAACAAATTATAAATGATACCCAGGATATATATCTTTGAGTTTTGAATAAAACAAAACTCAGACAACTCTTTGAAAAGGAGATATTTCACAAAAACAATATAAAGAATTTCATGATGCTGCTCATTATATTCTAAAGTTGTCTCTTGAATATATTTGGCACAAATTTCCTCTGAATGACGATATAATAATTAATACTGCTTGGGTGGATGTTTTAGACATGAAAACTTCAAGTGGGAGCAAGTTCAATATTTTTATGACCGGTTCCCACACTCAATGAATGGTATCAAATCTAATGAATTGTATGAAGAGTTTAGCAATTATTAGATTTTGAGGAGAAGAGGCTAAGGTATCTGAAAATCATCTTGATGACATGTGAGGTAAACATTTGTTCCGCTACAGAATTGACAATTTATTGTAACATATTTCAAAAATGATATTCCTTAGACTTTTTTTTACACATATTAAATTACTACCAAAATTAACAGAAATTGTCTTTTTTATTCTTCGCAGTAATGCTGAATTGGAAAGGTTGTTTAGCATGATTAAAAAAAAAATGTCTTAAGAGATCAGCATTAAAGCTGGATGGAACATGATCAAGTATTCTAACTATACAAACAATGTACCCCGAGGCTAATAATCCTGTTTTCAACAAAAACCAGTACAGCTGTTAAAAACCTCAAAGAAAGCAACAAAAATTTATTATTCTAAACATAGTGAATAAATATGAGTGATTTATATACCAAATATAACTAATTAAAACATTTTAATTTTTCTTGTTTGAAAAAAAGAACTTTATTTTTTAGATTGTTTTTCTTAGTTTATTTAAAAACAGCCCGGTTTTTATTAACACTTTAAAGAAAAATTATTTTAAGCAAAATCTATTAGTTCCTAATTGATTCTGACCCAAACCCTACCCTAACCATGTACATTTAATTGCGCAAATCCCTATTTGTCAGTCGATGTAGGTACATCTAAAAAGCTGTCTCAAAGATTTTTTATTAAAAATATATATATATTCATAATAATATTTAACTGAATTTAAATAAATTTCAATAATGACAACAATAAAAAGATTTTCTAAACGATTGATTTCTAAATAAAATCCGATTAAAAGACGTTTTTAAAAAGATAGTGATATTAGCGTTTTTAGTATATTTTTTAAACTTCAACATCAAATTAGAGTGTTTTCCTCAAATTTTCAGGTCATTGTTTTTATATGATTCTTAATCAGCACAAATTTTTCTATCGAAATCAATCTTAAAATGATAGGGGTAGGAAACTGTTACAGTGCCTAAGTCAAAAAAAAAAATTTTGACCGCAGTTTTTTTAACATTTTTATAAACTAGAAACACATTTTTATACCAACTTATTATTGATTATAAGTTTGGAAATTAAATGTTTGTTTTTCAAAAACCTTTTAACTTAGAATATAACCTCATAACATATAATAGAATCAGTGTAGAATTGTCCAATTTAGACAATTTTTTCACATTGAAGCCTCTACCCTTTCTAATGATATATAACAACCGTTATTTTATTCAACTTAAAAATTAAATGCCACATCTAATAATATACCTAGTTAAAAAGAAAAAAGCAACAACTGTTAACTTATATAATTTATCTACTCTAAAAAAAACATTTTGATACCTACTCTTTATTTATAATAAGTTTAAAAAATGTAATAATTTCTGTTGGCATGTTTTGAACACAGGTAAATGCTACTTTAAAATGTTTGGTACATAAGAGGGGCTAAAACAACTTAAAAAATAATAAATATATAAATTGGTTGACTCACTTTGTGGAGTTACCATAACTATTTCTGTGCCATATTTGATTAAATACTAAAAAAAGAAATCCATACAAATTTCAAAAACATTTTTGAACAAATCGTTATGCAATAATATTATAACTTTTTATAGATTATTAATTTAATATGAAAATAATTCAATTTTATATTTTAATTTTATTGAGCTTCGTTGAAAAATTTTATTCGTTTTATTGAACTTTTTGTAATATTTGCAAATTAACCTCCGAGAGTCTTTGAATAAGTTTAGTTTTAACACCTATTTTTTTCAAACCACGCTTTTTAAGCTCTTGTTGAAGCTCTGGAACGGTAAGTCGAGACAATGAATCTATATTTAGTTCAGCCATTTTTGTTTTATGTTCACATCAATCCTGCAGAATACGATATACAAGTGATCTGATTTAGCGGTAAATTTAGAAACCGGGATTTTAAAACGTGTAAGTACGTGTATACAAATGACCCTAAAAGCTAAAAACAGCTATTAGGTAAATCGGAGCTTATTGGAAAGTAAGGGGCTTTTGAATGTATTTCAAATCCTCAAGGAGTCTCAAAATATTTTTAAATTAAAAGAGTTTCTCAACACTAGTGTTGTGATCGACTTCGACTAAATCGACTAAAAGTCGACAAGTCAAAAGTCGAAAATAGTCGACTATAAAAAATCTAATAGTCGATTTAATCGACTTTAGATTTTCTACTAATCGACTAAAAGTCGATTTAGTCAGGTCCTAAAATTCTTATTTTTATCTCTTCTTTGGATTTAACTTTGTCAATATTTAATTTTATTATGAGGCTGACCAACTAGTAAAGATATATCCATACAAGTAGATTATTTTGTAAAGATAAAATATTTGTAAAGATTGAGTCATGCGCAAGATCATTATTCATAGCTGGATTTTTAATTCAACCAAAATATCTGAACATTGGACCTAATTTGTAATTTTACATAAAATCAGCTCTAAGCTTACTGTATGCTGTTCCACTATATTGATGTTTATTTTTTCTCGTTATACTGACTCGTTATAAAAAGATAATTCTTTAAAAAAATATATAGTAATGTGTCATCAGTTAACGATGCTAAAAGATACAAAGTTTTATAAATCTGAAATCAACAAAAAAGTTTGGCCCTACCAGCTTGATACGCCACAAAAATTACGCTTTACAAATTTTTTGCTTTAATTGTTTTGATAAATGATACAGAGAGGACCTTTTTTTTAAAATTCTCTCTGATTTAATTCAATTGAAATTCAATAAGTCAATAAATTCAATAAAATCAATCTTTTTATTGATTGATAGATTTAATAATAATTCCTAATGTACATTTTAAACGATTGGTTTAACTCCCTTTAGAAATTAGTAACGATTAGAATAATTCTAATAATAACAATGATAGGTACTCATGCTAATCCTTTAGGACATTATTTCTGCATGAAGGAATTCTTATCTGAACACACTTAAAAGCCGTGGCTTAAATCTTTGACTTAATTGTAATAGCTATTTTATTCTTATTCTCTTTTTATGGTAGAAATAAAATGTCAAATCGAAACATTCATAAAAGTAAAGTCTGGAATTATTTTGTGAAAAACAATGACTTTACAATAACGACGTGTAAATATAAAGATAGTTTAACAAATGAAATTTGCAACAAAGAGCTAAAATACAATAAAAATACAAGTTCAATGGCAAATCATTTGTATAGTAACCATCGGATTAATATTAAAGAGTCTAAACTTCTATGTACAACAACTGGTCATGCATTATCAAAGCTGCATTTGCAAACTCTCGTTCATATAGTTTAAGTTCGCAGAAATATAGAGATTTAAATGAACCTATGTGTAACTTTGTTCTTCGAACAGGTCAACCGCTATCGATTGTTGGTAATAAGTATTTTATTAAAATGCTTCGCTTGATTACAAGTGCAAATTGCTGACAAGACAAAAGTTTTCGTATGAAATAGTGCCGCTTAAATTTGAATCATTTAAAATAAAAGTAATGTATCTTTTAAGCCAAGCTGAATTTTGCTATCTAATCAAAGACGGATGGACATTGCAAGCCTCGCATTCATACACCGGCGCCACAGTACATTTTGTTGATCAAAATTTTTGTTTGAAATCATTCGGATTGCATTAAAGCGTAGCCCAAAAGCCCATAATAACCTATATTTAAAGGAGCAAATTGAGTTAATTCTAAATGAATGAAAAATAATTGATAAACGCTTTCAACGAGTAGTGACACTGCTGCGAATATCAAACATTGTCTAGAAGATCTAATCAATAAATTATACATACCTTGTTTTTTGTCATACATTAAATTTAATTGTTAAAGATGTTCTTGTAAAAGAGAATGAGCTATCAACTGACGAAAACCGTTGCCTTTTCATAATTTGAAAGAAATGGAGGAAACTCGTTGGCTTGCTCAAACATAGTAATAATCTTTCTGCTCAGTTTGTAAATTGTATTGAGTTAAATAATATGAAAATTGACCATCAAGAAGAAAAATGTTTAATTAACAAATTGAAACAAGACGTTGCTACTCGATAGAATTCGACCTTTTTTAATGTTGCAATTTTCAAAAAATATTTTTTGAAAATTACATCTTTTTTAATCAAATTTTGGAGGAAAAAAAAAACTTTTACTATCAGTTTAAAAAAGTTATTTAATTGCAACATTTATTAAAGCACAAAAAAGATGCTGCTAGCGACGTGAAGCAGGAATATTACAGTAAGTATATTATTAGCTAAAATGCTACTATATCTAGCCATCGACTAGCTATAGATTTGTTACAGTTTTCTATAAAGGACCTCCAACCTCACCGTAACCTAATCTTAGGATTAATTGATACTTTTATTATAAATTTTTATGTTATAATCCCCTTGCTTCAACTACTCAATAAACTACAGTTTTCTTCAAAAAGGGTTAAAAGACTAAACCTTCTAGTATACTTCTAGACAACTAGGTACCATGCTGACATCAAAGGTATTTATTTTTCCAATAATTTTCACAAACTTTTTTTTTAAATATTTATTTTTCCAAAAAAAAATGAAAAAATGTTAACGAGACTGCTTATTTACATAAAGCCACATTACACGTATTAGAAAACAAGCTCTAAAGCTTAAAGAGAGCAAAAGAATGTTGTGATCCTTTTTTTTGCTCTCTGGTTATCCTCTCTAATGATCTGATTATTCACTCTAATGAAAGTAGCTCGGTAGCAATATAACGTTTTTCAAAAAAATTTTCAAACGTTGTGCACATTAATAAACTTCTTTTTTCCATTTAATAAGAAATTCTCAAAAAATATAAACAACTAACCGTTTCTGAATGTAAAAGATTTTTTTTGTATTCAAGTCACTGGTAAGAATAAAACTTTTATTGTAATCAGGCTTTAAAATTTGTTAACCTTTAAAAAAGTCTTTTTGTCGATTTGTCAAAAATTAGGCTTTGGTTTATTTCTTACTACAGTAAAAAATTTATATAAGCATATTTTTGTTGAAACTATAATAAAACATCTGTTAAAAAATGCGCATTTGACTGCAAGACACACTAAAATTAAAATTGTTTTATTTGTGTTTTGTAAAAAACTCCCACACCATCCTTTTATTAAGACACCCTCCTCTTTCCTCATTTATTAGATTGGCTCTAAAACTCCCCGTACTTCCTACTTTCATGAACGAATAATCTTTAACTGAAAATTAAATCTTGAATAAAAAACAATTTTGTTTCAAATAGCAATGCTCAACTGAACACTTTAGACCTAATTAATAAATCTTTTATTTATTATTAATTAAGTTTTATTTTAAAAAATGGAAAACTATGGAAAAAAAAAATTACTTTTGATTGGTTTAAAAACTACCTTTGTAACAGGCAGCAATATATTATTTCCAATGAATATAAATATCCTAAACTATTGCAAGTAGAATGTATTGTTCCTCAAGATTCCATTTCTGAGCCCATAATATTTTTACTTTATATTAATGATTTATTTTTATATATTAATTGATAAAAGCTAAAAAAAAATATTAAAACCCTAATTTTATTATTCAACGTCAATTATAGACCTTTTGAATTTATGAACAATGAGTTTGAAAATAAACAAACTTTCACCAGTGCCGTCCCGAAGATATCTCTCATGGAAGGGGGGGGGGGGATCGTGTGTGTTTTGTGCCAACTAGAGACACAAAAGAAATAATAAAAAAAAGGTCCACAATATTTGACATTTGCCAACCATAATTTAAAACTTGCTAACTGAAATGCTAAATGTACAAATGTGCCAACTTAAATGCATATATATAACAGCTTTTTTTTTTTTTTTGGGGGGGGGGGGAGGGACATAAAAAAGTAATGCACCAAACATACTTGTTTAATGAATTTCTTGGTTAATGATGCTTGAATATAAACTTGGGTTAGTGCCATCACATTTTCAAAATTTTTTTTCTAAATGAACACAAACAGATACACCTTAAGAGAAACGGGAAAAATTGTATAATGCCAAAATTGCAAAAAACCAAGCTTAATAAAGCAAACATAAACATAAACGCAAAAATAAACATAAACAAAGCAATTTTATGTTTTAAAACGTGTGAAATTGTATATTCTGTTAATTATGGTATGAATTAAACATAATATATAATATTAGTATTAGTAAAGATTATAAGTATTAAGCTTATATAATACAATTATATTAGTATTAATAAAGGTTGAGCTGATACAACCCTTATAAATAATCTTGCAAAAGAGTTCATTTAATGGAAAGAAAAAAGAACAAACGTTTTTGGAAAGTTATTCGAGCACGAAATTCAACGTAAAGCAAATAATGTCAGAAAGTTTATCTAAACATTAAAAACTATAAATATGTCTTATTCTGATTTGTTTTTAGTAATTTTATAATCAAGGGTAAGAGAAAAAAATTTCCCTTTATTGCACAGTGTTAATAAGAAAAATCATACAATTTTGTTTTAATAAAAAACACTTGCTTCAAAAAATGTTCTCTAGTTTTTTATTTTTTTTTAAAGAAATAAAGCTTATAAATTTCCTGCAAGGCTTTCACAAAACACTCGATGTAATGTCAAGTTTAATTTGAATTTTGTTCCTACGAGCATATACTTTTACTATAAGTACAGAGCACTCGCACAGTTTCAAGGTGAGTTTCTACTAAATTGAGTGCAGCGAAAGATTTTCAAAGGACAAGTTTCTGAAATTATTAATCAGTTAACAAAAATAGTAACAATAAATACTTAACAATAAGTAATTCGGATGAATTTAAACCATTAATACTTTAACACTTTCTTGTTAAATTCCGACCTTGAGCGCCCTTCGCCTTCGCTAACTCATATTTTTAGAGGTTAGGTAAATTGAGATATATAGAGAAGCTTGCAGCCAAACGTCAATCCATTGACTAAAATATGGATAGAGGCAGTGAGTGAACTACATACATCGACTAGAGATTTTGGTTGGGAAGGTATTAATCTTGCAAATATAAAAATAATTTATTGTCTTTGCGGACCTGAAGGACAGTGTCGGAATAAGAGTTTGACAAGAGTCTGCTCTGCAAAACGTTATTTTTATAAGTGAAATCTGCGTTGTCAGCAAATATTTCATTTACATAACACAAGATTTTTGGAATGACATAAACAACAAAAATCCTAAATTCATAGCACATAAATGCAGTATTTTATGTAAAACTAGTATCTTTACTTTATCTATTAGCTATCAGTTATGATAGGAATTCTTCGAGGTATTCAGCATGGTCGAACTCTTAGTCATTGGGTATGTTTTATCTTTGTTAAACGTAAACGCTTGTGCTATTTAAGCACCTATGTCCATAAACTTTGTTAAAAATTTTGATGTCAAATATTTTTTACAAAATATAACACTATAGTATTGGCTTTTGGCAACTGCTATTGAGATATAAATACATTTTATTGCAATTTTTATAGAAAAAAATTATTATTGTTTTTTCATTATTGTTTTTTTTTTTTTGCATACTAAAACCATTTGGTTATGAACCATTTTTAAACTTTATGTGGGCAAAATATATTGGAATAAGTACATCTAAGTTTTTTAACTTCAGTGTGTGGGTGTGTGTGTGCATGTGTGTGCGCGCGTATGTATGTGTGTGAGTGTGTGCTTGTATGTATGTTTGAGAGTGTTTGAAAGTGTTTGAGTCGCTGTGTGTGTAAAAAATAATATCTTTATTTTCCTTCGTGAAAAAAATAAATCTTTAATTAAGATTCAAAATTTTTTCTTAGATTACGTATTCTAAATTTTTTTTGAATCCGTAAGAGTTGTCTAAATCATTTAGACAACTCTTACGAATTAATTAAAGATTTATTTTTTTTTCATTTAGTAAATGCAACTAATCATATAAAAGGTTATATAAAGGTAAAATAACACATTTTATGTTTGTTGCACATTTTTTGTGTGTTTGAATGTGTATGCGTATAATCTTTGTTCATGCATCACAAAAACGTAGGTTTTTATGTGATAAACCTATGTAGAGAGAATTAGTTTTTAATAAGATTTTTGAATAAGAATATCTAAAATTGTAATTTGATTTACTTGTTCTTTTTCCATGGTAAGTTTTAAATTTTTAAGATGTTTAAAAAGTTCCTGAGATTCAAACTCTGAATTAAAAATAGCAATAATGTCATTTGCAAAATCTTTATAAAAAAAAGATATGGAAGATGTGCAATTATTAACTCATGTTTACTTATGGAACCAGATAAACATATTTGTAAAAATTAGTGTTAGATAAGAACTCTTTGCAATACCAACTTATTGATCATAATATTTTTCATAAAATAAGAAATATAATCGGGTTGTTAAAATTTTTGGCTTTCAACTTCATAAGAAATTATAAATTTGTTTGTTATATCAACTTTTTCAAACTCATATAAATTTATCTATCTAGTTTATTGTTAATATTTTTATTTTTTTGGCTATTCAATGTCATATAATTTTTATTAATTTGTAACAAATTTCTGTTTGTTAATATTTCTCAGTAATATCTTCAGTTTTAAATTTTATAAACCAGATTTCCAGCTGTAAATTAAATCTTTTTAAAATGTAGTACTTAACTACAAAACATGTCAAGATTAAAGAAAATCGTTTTTTCTTAAAAATACTTATTTAAACCTTTTTTAGACAAAGTTAAAAAAGAAAAACAATTATAAAAAAACAGTAGTATTTTTATTTTAATAAAAGCCTTTTAAATTTTGACAAAAGGTGTTATATCATCTTATTATAAAGTATGGTTAGGACCTCTGGGGCATAATAAAGATATGCCCTTATATAATTTAGGTCAAAAATTCCCTGTTTAGGTATACATTCTCAATTTTAAATTTTTTATTAAAATTTGATTAAAATTTTTTTATATGTGTATACAACACATTTTACCGTGAAATCTTTGAAATAATTGTCTACAGCAAAGAATCAAAAGTTGGCATAATTAACAGATGCAAAAATTGTCTTGGAATACAAGCTACCCTAAAATTTATTAATATAATTATTATTAAATTTAAAATTACCCTAAAAGAGCATATAAATTATTTAATTGCTTTTGAGATAAATTACTTTAAAACTTATCTTTTGGAATGTTTTATTAAAGTTTGTAAAATATTTTTACAAATTATTTCTAATGATTGTTTAATAAATGAACAAGTTTTATTTAATTTATTAAAAAGCGTTATATTGAATATTATTTAGTTTGTATAAACATTTTTTTTCCCAAAAAAGTTGCAAACTTATTCATAACTTGAAGAATCTTACAAAAAATAATCTTTTAAAAGATTTTTGGAAAGAAGGAAAATAAAAATAGTTTCAAAGGTTTAAATTTATTATAAAAAATGTCTTCATAAAAATTTTAAAGTATAATATTTTTTTGTTAATTTACACAATATCTGTTTATTTTAAACAATCATTTTATTTTATTTTTTATTTTATTTAAAGACTTTGCGTTAAACAAAAAAACTTTAGAAAAGATTTATAACGTAACAATTTTTTAAATTGTTAAAAAATCAAAACAGTTGTGATCAAACTGTAAAGAAAAAAAACTATAAGCATTGTCAGTTACAGCATGCAATTGCATGCTATTTCTGTCCAAGTCTGATTATATAAACTTGTTAGAATTTAATTAAAAGATGATGGGGATAGTTCTATTAAGTTCGTGTTGGCATATTAAATTTAAATTATTTAAATGCTTACAAGCACTTGGAAAAACAAGTGGTATGCAGTTTTGACAATGTACTTGACATGCTACGAGATATGTATGTATCACTGTATCACAATAGTATTAATCACTTCAGAATACAAAGAAGATTACTAAGTGAAGGATTTTACTTTAAAAAAAACAGGAGTCATTGCATAAGATTAATAATAACTGCATATAAGTATATAATTGTAATAAGTATCGCATCCGCATAAGCTAAAAGAGTATGTTGAAACACAGACTTTTTCAAATGAAGAGGATTTATTTACAAATGGAGCTTATCACTGAGCTTATCACATCATTTTTATTGATGAGTCAAGAAATATTTACAAGTTTACAGAAAAAAGAACTTCAGTGGAAAACATATCTAATAAAATTTTTTTACAAAGGTTTACTGGAAAGATGTTTCAGTGGGAAAGAATGAGACATTGCTGAATGTTGAGTCAAACAAGAATGAGTTTTAGTTGATGGAACTAGAAATGATAGCTACTTTGAATAGCAACCATGATAGAGTTTGTAGAAAAGAAAAAGAGATGTAACCTTATGATGATGGGAGAAAAGTTTAAGCTTGACATATATAGCAGGTCCAGCTACATTTACAACGTGTTTTTGACCTTGTCTAGATAAGAATGAGCCTAAATATGACAACAGTATTCTATACAGGGTTTTTCATGAGTAAGAAAATGGCAAGCATGATAAAGAAAAGCAATCTTAGCAGATGCTAATATAATATAGATTGTATATAAGGTTTCCAAGAGAGTTCAGACAGTAGTATAAACTTAAATCGTATACAGGAGGATAAACTTAAATCATATACAGGAGTATAAGCATTATTTAAGTCATCCTCAAGTATTTGAGGATGACTTAAATAATGCAGTTAGAAAGAAATATTTTTATTATTTCTAAAACTTTTCAAAATACACCATATAAAGCAAGCTTATAGAGAAGACCAGGATGCCAAACTATCGAGAGCTTTAGATATGTTAAGAGAAATAGCCCTAGCCTCACCACCTCCATAAAATCACAATAAAATATCTTAGTCACAGCAGTTAGTAAGTCAGCCATAGAGCAAGAAGATGGAAAATTGTATTGATTATCGGACATTTAGTTATTTGACTCAAGATAGGGTGTTAGAAATTTGTTGATCAAAGACTCAAGATCTTGCTAATATTTCATTGGTCATTTCTTGACCAAGACTGTATTAGTATCTGGGCAAACAGATAAGGAACATTTAGAAAATGTTCAAAGGATTTTGCAAATTATGGAAAAAACAAGAATGAAGTTAAAGGACAGCAAATGTGTGTTTATGTTGTTGGAGGTAGAATACCTGGTTTTAAATTTACAAAAGATAGAATTATACCGCTTAAAGATAAGTTAAATGCAATTAAGAATTCTTCTGAACGTACAGACACTATTTAAGTAAAATTCTTTTTTGTGAATGTTCAACTATTATCACAGACATTTTCCAAAGTCATCAATAGTTAAGCCACAACATAGAGTTCTTCAGAAAAGAATATTCTGGTTGTAGGGGGTTAGGAAAAAGCTTCTTTTAATGGTGTTTAGTTACATAGAGTACCTACTTCTCATTGCCTGAAAGAATATTTTCCTGCTAATTGGTAGTAGTTCTTTAGACAGCAAAAAAGTACTGAAAGTAAGTTTATTACTGAAAAAAGAATTCGTTTTGTTGTGTTATGCATCGTCTTATGGAATCGAAGCTGTACTTCTCATTATAGATCAGATGGTAGTTAAAGAACAGTTACTTATATACCTAGAATGTTATCTGCTGCTGAGTGAAAATACATGAAAATTGTGAAAGAAGTTTTGTCCATTATTTACGCTGTAAAAAAGCTGTATCAATATTTATATAGGAGATTTTTGACTTTAGTGACTGATCACAAATCTTTATTAGGTTTATTGGCTGACGAAAAATCTATTCAAGCCATGTTCGCAGCAAGATTTCAGTGTTGGGCATTGACTCTTTTAGGTTAAATCTGCTGTTTAAAACATTGAAATGGGACTGCACATGTAAGTGTCAATTGTATGAGTTTGCCAATAAAAAAAAAATCATCAGTTGCAGAATTTTTATTTTTAAAGTTTTTATGATTAAGTTTCAGCCTAAGATGTAAAAATTCAATCTACATGAGATCCAATCAAAAGTTGAGTAATAGATGTTGTTTTGAATAGGTGCAGTTTCCTGATGAATTAGGATTTAAACCATATGTAACAAGGAAATACAAGTTATGAGTTGAGGATGGAGTTCTTTTGTGTGGGAAGAGTTATTGTGCTTATCCGAATATAGTGCGCATGGTAGCTTTGACAAGGAGATATGTGTTGTGACCCAGCATGAACAAGGCAATAGAGGAAGCTGTATGCAGGTGTTGGCACTATGAAATGCATCAAAGAAATCTAGAAAGTGGATATATCCATCATTGGGAGTATCCATTCCAATCATGGAGTCAAATGCACCATTCCTTGGACACATGTTCTTGATTGTATATGAACTTATTCAAAATGAATCAATGCTGTAATCATGAAAAATGCAAAATCAGAAAATACAATAGAACGGTTGAGAAGAATACTTGCTGTTCATGGGATCCCCAAGATAATTATTATGGACAAAGGACCTTCTTTTAATAGTGCATATTTTGCTGCATTTGTTAAAAAAATTCTGTAATTTTTGGAGTATTCCATGAAAGAAATACTCCAAAAAAACCTAGGTCTCTGTTCTATCTCTATTAAATTTTCCAAGGTAGACTATTGGTGAAGTACAATCCTCATTTTGATTTAATTATAATTGTTGTTATGAAAAACAAATATCATATTCTTTATCTTCAAAATTATATATTAATACTAATTTTCAGTATGATCACATGTAAAGATGAGCAATAAACAAATGAAACAATAATAAAGTTAAAATGGCAGCCTAACTAAAAAAATCTCAAAAAATAGGTGATTTTAAAGTAATGATGTCTTAAAAATCCATTTAGTATCAGTGCTAAAATTTTGCAAGGTAATCTATGTAATGTAAGTAACCATTTCTTCATAGTTAGAAAAAAAACTGAGACAGTGTGTTATATTCTTGGTCCACTTTCCCATGGAATACCCAGAATCCCTAAGACCAAAAAAAAAATTTTAAAGTGTTTTATGTTTAGTTTCAAATGAAATGGGTTTATGCTAATATATCAAAAATAATAATCATATTTATGATGTCTACTTTTTTGGTCCACCTAAAGTCATATGGTTTCTTCAAAAAAAGAAAAAAAAGTATGTTATAAAAATAGTGATGTATGTAATAAAAATTTCTTCAGAAAAAGGAAAAAAAGTAAGTAAGAAAAAAACTTGTCCTTGTCCCAAGCCAAACCCTTAGTCGATATAAAAGCAATTACCTTGCATATTTTACCTATAGAACATGCAAGGGAGTGTGTTGGTATGTGAACACATGCACATACAAACACACACATTTATTTGTTTAATTTATTTTTAGGTTCATCAACTGAAAATCAACTCATGCAAATTTTCCACAAAATATTTATACAGCTCAGAACTACCTAGTGGTTTTGGAAAGTTTTTCCCAAAAGGTGCTCAGAAGAAAGCTGTTCCTCCAAAGAAGCGTAAATATTTTTCTTATTTTTAAATTTTATTATTTTAAAAAGATCTCTAAGTTTTTAACAAAATTTTATGACAAATTTAAATTTAAGTAATTAAAGTCAAAGATTTGATTTTTTTTTTTGTACAATTTTATCATTATGTGATATAGAATAAATTGGGCTAAGCAAGAAAAATAAATTAGGCTTAGCAAGAAAAATAAATTAGGCTTAGCAAGAAAAATAAATTAGGCTAAGCAAGAAAAATAAATTAGGCTAAGCAAGAAAAATAAATTAGGCTAAGCAAGAAAAATAAATTAAGCTAAGCAAGAAAAATAAATTGGGCTAAGCATAAAAAATAAAGGAACTATTTAGCAATTTTGTTCCTTTTGCGTGAACTAGAACAGAAAATCTTTATAAGTTCTTTTAATTTTTGTGCTTAAAAAAATTATTTACAACAAATTTTGATTTAGCAAAACTTTTAAAATTAAAATTAAAGTTTTCTAAACTATAAAGGCAGTTTTGTCAAAAGTTCTAGACAAAATTATGAGAAAATGCCTAAGGAAATTTTTTTCTTTAAAAATAATTTCTTAAGGGTTTTTCTTATAATTTTTAAGGAATAATTTAAAAACGTTATGCATTATAAGTAGTGCTAAATTAATTAGTAGTTAAAGCCCAAATAAATATGCTTTTTATTTTAATTTTTTTTTTCACTAAACAATATTTGCAACATCCAGGTTGGGTTAGATGGATGAGAAACAGTTCAACGGCTCACTAAAGTATTCATACTAACAATTAAATTGATTCAGGCTAGTTGGGTACTTAATTAATTTTTTCAGTTATAATATTTCATTTTAGTCTCCGACAGACACTCCACATGTTAAACACAGTGTTGCACATAGTTGTATTCACAGTAGCATCATCCTGATATGTTTACTGGCTCATTTGTGTTTTTTAACATACCAGGTCTTGATATCTTCTAGATTTTTTTTTTTTTCAATTTAGCTCTCCAAGGTAGACAAGATCACTACAGATCAGGAGCCTGCTTAATAGTGGTTTTAACCCTTTCTTAACTCTATAACACAAACCTCTAGCTTATGAAGCAAGTGCTCTACCATTATACCGCTACTGTGTTAATACACCATTCCTTAGACACATGTTATTGATTGTGTATGACACATTCAAAATGGATCAATGCTGTAATCATGAAAAATGAAAAATCAGAAAACGGTTGAGAATTATATTTGCAGTTCATGGCGTCCCCAAGATAATTTTTATGTACCTAAGCCTCTGTTCTATCTCTATTAAATTTTCCAAGGTAGACGTAGTTCAAAGTAATGTCTCAAAAAACCATTTAATATCAGTGATGAAATTTTTCTAGTTAATTTATGTAATGTAAGTAATTATTTCTACATAGTAAAAAGAAAATATGAGACAGTGTGTTAGATTCCTGGTCCATTGAATACCCAGGGTCCCTAAGATCAAACAAAAATTTAAAAGTATTTCATGTCTAATTTCAAACGAAAAAAATTTATGCAAATATATTAAAAATAATAATCATATTTACAATATATCTACGTGTAGCCAAATTTTTTTAAGTTGGATTGTAACCAAATAAAAAAGCATTTCACAACTTTTTTTCTTCTCATCTGAATCAGCTTGGTTATTTCTCAAAACTTGGTGTTTCGTTTCCTTATGATTTAACTCCAAGTCAGCAAAATCAGTGTTAAGATTTATGTACTTTTTTGCCATCTAAAAAACTACTATCAATTGGCAGGAAAAGGTGATGAGAAAATGGTACTCTGTTATTAAACCAGAATGCACTAATAGCTGAGCCCTACTCAAAAGCCAACTCAATCTTGGGCTAATCCAATAAAGATTAAGTTCTCAGTCTGATGGAGTATCACATATTTTATACTGCTTCCTTTTTAATGCAACTGTTACTACAGAGGTCTATTGTGTTCAATAGAATAAATGTAAGACAATGCTTGACTACATGTCAAGCATTGTCTTAAATTTGATGGAATGACCAAGTCTGATGGAATGACAATTCCATCAGACTTTGGCTGGGAGGTATTACCCCACCCACAGTATTCGCCTGGATATTACTTACTTTTTTAGCCTAAATACCCAAAGAGTTCTATTTACAGGGTGTTCATTCTTGGTGTGCATGTTTTTTTTTTTAACATCATTACTTCCAACAACACTGCAAGCAACCACTATTAGAGTTGTAAGTTACTGGAAGAGAAAAAATAAAGTTTATAAAGCAAGATAACGATTAACAGATGACTTAAAAAATTTCAAATTATATGAATCAAGAAAACAAGATGAAGGGAGCAAATTCAAAAACCCAAAGAGTTCTATTTACAAGGCATTTATTTTTTGTGTGCATGGTGGCAAATATCGTTTATGACTAGACTATTTAGTTATTGACCAAACTTTTAGATTTAGATTTGGCTTGAAATTTTAATTTGAACTGATACCTTAATTTCGGTTTTGGTACTTTTTATGAATTCAGTAAGAAACAAAATTCCGGTTGAAAAACATAGCAGAAACCAAAATTTCAATTTCGACAAAAAAATAAACAAATGTAAAAAAAAAATATATCTAAATTTTGGTATTTTTTTTAGTAAAATGTTTGCTGAAATGTCGATTTTGATTTTAGTATTGAACTAGCATTCTTGAAGTTTTTATATTTTCTGTTTTGGTCGATCTCTAATAGTAATGAAGCATTTATAATTGATTAAGATTTATATGTTTATTTTTTAATAATAAAATATTAAAAACTGTCTAATTTTTTTTTTGCACAAAATATATACCAAAACAGAATAATAACAAAAATATTCATTTTAACAGTTTTTAAAACTTTTAAGGAATTTAGTTATTATTTTTGCTTTTGTTGTTATCAAAATTATTATTCTTAAACATATTTTTAGCATCAACTTCAAATCCATCTGGATTTGGGTTTTCTTCTGGGGGTAGTAACAATAATGGAGGACCAGAATGGTGGAAAGATTTGATGAAGCATCAGCAAAATATTCTTTTATTTGGTGGCGCTTGCTTTTTTGCTGCATACATGTACTTTCAAAGTGTACCAATGACAAAAGAAATTAATTGGCAAGAATTTCGCACAAGTTACTTAAGTAAGGGAGAAGTAGACCGTGTGGTTATTGTTGATCGCAATACTGCAAATGTTTTTCTTAAAAGTGAGCCACAAAAAGTAATTCATTTTTTTTAATTATTAAAAATTATTCCAAATAATGGTGCGAATAAATGTTAATCAATTTAAAAGAAAGTCATTTTAATTTTAATTTTATTTTAGGTATTTAACAGAAAGCCTAAAATTTTATTGAAATATTTACAAAAAAAAAATTGTTTATAGTTTACGACAATTTTTTTTGTACATAAAGTTATTAAACAGAATGTAAAAAAAATATCAGCGAATATATGCGCATACCATTCAAAAGTTATGCGTATAATATCCAAATAATGCAATATAAATTTAACAAATTAATGCTATATAAAATTAATTAAATATTGTCAAATATAGAAGAAATGTTTTTTAAATCAAATGCAGGTGACTTTGAATTAAAAGAAAAATTTTTCATTCGATTTTCTGTAATTAATTTAATTTGTAAATATTTCAAATTATTTTCATGATTTTTAAACAAATTTTAAAAGCACAAAACTTGATAATTTAATAAATTTTTGTATTGCATTTGCTCATTTAAAATTTCTTTACACTCAAACTCGCTGAGAACTGCTACTTCCTCTAAAATGTAGCCATTTTTGTCGTTTGTATCTATCAAAACAATATTGGTATATATGAAAGCTTTTTTTTTTTTACGTGTTCGTTTGTCAAGAGACTTCTGAGTAAATCGAAAAATCGACCAAGTTCTCTCTGCTTTAGCTGACAAAGCAATGTTTTCAATAACAGATTTTGCTACTTCAAAGACTGGACAGTTTTCATATAATAGGGGAGAGTGGGGAGAAATGGGCCAGCCTGAAATTTCTAATTAGGAGTGGTGCCTAAATTCTGTTTTTTAATGTAAAAAATTAAATTTAATCCCCTTTATTTAGCAGAAATTGCTTTGTTTCCTCGTGTGCGCTAGAAGTTCAAATTTTGAAATGTACCTTAAAAAAGTGTTTACATTAGGATGAAGTGGGACAGAAAAAAGTAATATTTGTGCCCACTTCTTCCGCCACCATTTGATTATATTGATTGATGAAAGCTCTTGAACAATTTTATGTCAATTAGGTGATTTTATGATATTATCAGTTTCTATTTAATAATTTGTGTTAAAATGTTGTTTTGAATTTATTTGTCCGTTTCTACTCACCCTTGTCCCGCTTTACCCCAATGGCATGGTTTCTCTAAAAGCAAAAATTTATATACTTAGTTATAATTGGCTGGATACTTAGAGGGATTGAATCGGTGCCTAAAAAGGAGGTTTATTTGTAAAAACTTGTTTGGTTCAGTTTATACATCAAATAAAAAAGATGTTTCAATTACCTTAAAACAAAAATTACGTGTCCCCTTCTCCCCACTCTCCCCTACCAATAGAGTTTTGATGGACACAAACTACAAAAATGAAGAAATAAATGACAAATATTACATTTTAAAGGAAGAAGCAGTTCTTAAACTATAGATTTTTCAGTTTTTATATATTAAGTTAATATATATATATATATATATATATATATATATATATATATATATATATATATATATATATATATATATATATATATATATATATATATATATATATATATATACAGGCCTTGCGATGAATAAGAACTGCGCGACGCATAAGCACGATGTGATTTTTGACGCCATTAAATTCTTTTTATTTGCTTTTCATATTTATCAACATTAACTTCACCAATTTACTTAATTACCGCAAAACTACTTTAAATCGTTTATGTTATTACTTAAAAATGTTTTGGAATGTTTCGTTTTTTAAAATGTAAAAACATTTGTTTATTTTCTCGACGTTTGTCACGCTTTGTCTATACTAAACGAATAAAAAACATTTTAACTTAAATTTAAAAAAGATTATAAAATATGCTAATATTTGATTTTTTTTTTCTTAAATATGTAATTTGAAGTTTTTCAAATAATTTTTTTTCTTTTTAAAAAGTCAGCAAGTAATAAACTGGAAATTTTAATATTGTACGATTAAAAACTGATATCTTTACAAGCGATTTTATATAATATTTATTTATTTTTATTTATTTTCATAAAGCGGTTGATTAGTACAATCACTCGTATTAATAAAAAACTTAAACGAACGTTTTGAATAGATTTTTAATGTTAACAAGGAATTATATTTCTAGTAAAATAAAATAAAATGTTAGAATAAAAATCTTATAGGTATAAAAGAAATATTTCAGCGAAAAAATTATTCTTAAAAATTATTATTATAAATTATTCGAAAAACTATTGACTTTTTATTTTTCAGCATTTTCTTGAGCACGCTTCCTTGAGTTTCGTTAACTTTTAACATAAAAGCGATCGTTATTATTTAAGTAATTTTTTTGAGTTACTTTTTACAAAAATTTTAATAACAGTACTTTTTTATTGAATCAAGTAGAATACGTTTTAGTATTAATCCTTTTTTTTTTTTTTTTATTTGCGCTCACCAATTTTTAAAATGTTTCCTCGAAATTACTCTTAAATACTTTAAATACGTCTAACAGTTAATAAATATTTTTAAATCTATGGAATAATTTTAAAACCTAACAAACACCCGTAAAATAATTATTTAAGTTTAAAATCTAAAACTAAAAGAAAGTATTTTTGTTCAATTTTATCAACAACTTTGCTATTGCTGAATAATTTTATTAAAATGTTAGCTTAAAATATTTAAACTTTTTTTTTAATCTGAATTTTTTCTACTTGTAAATAATGAGCATATTTAATTTTTTTTAATTCAAACTTTTATTTCAACTGCGTGCGGTTTTTAAAATACTTTATTAAATGTTAAAATAATCGTAAATTACTTCATTAAAATTCCGCTCAAAAATATCTTTAAATATACTCAAACAAAAAATTTTTTGCTCGACGCAAATAGCCCTAGCTGCACGCAAAATCGCTCTTGGACGACGTAAAATTCACATCGCCCGACGCTTTATCGCAAGGCCTGTATATATATATATACCACATATAAAGAATTTATAATTTTTTTTTTTTAAACGAGAGTCTTTCTGCATGATTTGCAGTGTGATATATATATGTATATATATCACACTGCAAATGCGGTAGTGGTGTAGTGGTAAAACACTCGCTTCATAAGCGAGAGGTTCGGAGTTCGATCCCCACCACGTCCCTGGTAGTACCGCGCTCAACTTGTTTCTCCGCGCAGCGGCCTTGTTTGTCAAGGTTCGTGTTTCGGAATTATAGAGTTGAGAGAGGGTTATAACCATTATTAAGTAGCCTCCTCGTCTGTAGTGGCCTTCTCGGCCTTGAGGAGGTGAATAACAATATATATATATATATATATATATATATATATATATATATATATATATATATATATATATATATATATATATATATATGTATATATATATATATATATATATATATATATATATATATACCACATATAAAGAATTTATAAAAAAAAATTTTCTTAAACAATTTGTATAATTATGAAACAAAATAAGTATGAAAATTTTTTTACTTTTCAGAGTCATCTTTATTTTACTATTGGAGCTGTTGATAGCTTTGAACGCAATATGGAGGTTAGCCAAAGTGAACTTGGTATTGACCCAGCACATTTTGTTCCTGTTATTTATCAAAAGCAATCACCTTTTGAAATGTATGTTATAATATATTTTTATACATAATGTAATTAATTTCAACATTAAAAATTAATATCAGAGTTTTATGTATATGGTTATATAAATATATATATATATATATATATATATATATATATATATATATATATATATATATATATATATATATATATATATATATATATAGTCAGCATTCAGCAATGCTGACTTAACTGTCAGTATAAAATTGTTAAGGTCAGCAAAAAGTTGTCAACCATGTTTCTTTGTTTTATGGTAAAACCTTAGTGTCAAATTTTTTTGTTGACTTGATGCTGACCTCTGAAAAACAATCCAACCTCATTTTTTCTTATTTCTGATTAAATTAATATAAGAAATCTTATTAACTTTATTTGTAAATTTATTCATAACTCTATTTTTATTTGTCTCATTCATGTAAACTTTCTTAGTAGCAAAATCGGTTTTATTCATTTTATTCTACATAACAACTTTTCTATTTTGTAAAAGTCAAATTAAGCCACTGATTAGGTTTTTTCCTCACATCTTTTTGCACCATTAATTTTTTGACATTTTTGATAAAAAAGAAATCTGATGGTTGTGTAAGCCAAATCATTTTATTCAACATTTGATCAATCTATAACTCATTCAAATAGTTTCTACAAAATTTTGAGAATGCTTTTCATTATTATTTTCTGGAAAAATGACTATTTTTTTTTTGAGAATGCTTTTCATTATTATTTTCTGGAAAAAAAGGTACACAATTTTTGACTTCATATCAGCTTAAAATGGTTTATTTTAAACACTTTTTTCTTATTTTTAAAAGAGTTTTTTGACAGGGTTGGCAAAAATTCAAGTTTTTTTTAAAAAAAACCCGGCCTAGTTGGTTATTTTGAAGTTTTTTGAGTTGTTTTTTTTTTATATCTGTTAAAACTCTATATTTTTGTTGAATAATATTGAAAATTATTATAATTTTCTTCTTTAATTTTATTTTAAATATTTTAAATATATTTTTTAATGGTTTTTAACAAAGATTATTCAAATTATTTTCGAAAAGATTTTTAGAAATATTTTTTTTAGAAATATTTAACCTAATAGATGAATTTCAGATTTAACAATAATATTTTTATAATTAATAAAGTAAAATATCAATCAGAAAAAAGAAAGGTGGATAATGGGAGGAAGTAACATAAGTTGAAAACTTTACATAGTTTTCTTGTGACTTTTGTAATACTTTGCTTAGCAACAAAATAGAACAAGTAAAACCCTATTTAAAATAATGGCAAAAGAAATTTGAGTTTTTACACAAGCATGCAGAAGGTGCTTCAATCTGTCACAATATTTGAATAAAAATTATGATGTGTTTCCAATTAATGATTTAAATAGTAGTACATCTACTCTGTTAGCTAGACCATCATCTCAAGTTGGAACAAGCTCTTTGGCATCTGTTAGTTCTATAAGTTTAAAAACACCATGTAAAAAGCAACAGTTGATGTCATCAACAATATTAATAGAAAAGAAAATATTTATATAAAAATAGCAAAATTTTAAAAGCAAATGTATAACGTCTATTTAAAACCTCTGAAAATTAAGAGTTTATAGAGATAATTCATATAACCAGTATATAATCCATATAACCGTAGAATGCTTTGAGGAGAGCTCTTGAAAAATGTTTACAATGAAATAAACAAAAAAAATTGATGAATCAATTTACCAAAGAAAAGAAAACAATAACAATTATGTAAGACAGATCAGTTTATTGCTCACAGCCCATATGACAGGTTAAAGTCTAAACTTTTATACACAACTGATTGTGCATCAAATTAAGAAACAGCCAAATATTGTACCAAACTCCTTTGTAATGTCATTAAAGATCTTAAGGACACATACAACAAAGAAGTACTTGCTGTGAATGAAGATAAGATAAAAAAAATGAAGCATTTAAGGCAGCTCCATATGGCAGGTATCCCATATAGAGCTTCATAACAAAGATACTTTGCAATAAATGCTACTTAAACTTGTTGAAATTGTAGCAAATCAAGCTTTTCATAAATGTCATTCATCCCATCAATTCTTTTATCAATTATCAGCTTGTTTACGCATTCCTTAAACATGTCTTTTGAATTCCACCTTGTCTACTTAGGAACAACAAACTGCAAACCTATTGTTTTACTAATAACTATTGTAGATGTAGATTACTTTGTGACTTTTTGTTCCATAGTGCATTTTGCAAACATTGATCAACTAATCTTTTTGAAAGTTGCATCATAATCAACAGTTGCAATTAAGAAATTATAAGTACTAAGTTTATTGAGTGGCATGCAGATTTCTGATTAGGGAGCAGGTGAAATAGCTTTGTTTTTTCATAAACCTTTTTCAGTTTTCCATATAGACATTAAACTCGCTTATCGCGTTGTGTATTTAAGTTGAATATCTTGTGTGTTGAATATAGCCTTTGCATCTTGATGAATGGCTGGAATCTAACTTCAAGCAGTACTAGTTTAGGTTTCGAACCAATAAAGTTCATGTACTTTTGTATTTTTCCCTGAAGACTTAAAAGTATTGATAGTAAAAGTAAAAGTACTGCATTGTTAATGTAATTTGATGTATGTAACAAAGTATTGTTATTAATTATATGTACTTTGTTACACCTTAACCCTGCTTTTCAGTAATTTAATTAATTGTAAATTTATCAATATTATAACAAATCTTGTGTGGGGTATGTATGTGGGGTAATATATCTTTATGTGGGGTATGTAGTCATGAATTTACTAAATTTTGCAAGGCTATATGTCAGTATTTTATTAAAATTTTGTATTAACCCTGTTAAACAAGAAAAACATTAATTGTTACTCAATACTTGCGCAAGCTTTTACTCAACTTTCTAATGGCTTGTGGAGGGTTGAAAAATGATCCCAAATTTTTATTGAGTTAGTTCTTAATTTTTATTTTTTATTGTTTTTAGATCAAATCTCATCAATTTTAAAATTCCCATAAATAAAGATTTAAGATTTACTGCCCTAATGTTGCCTATGTTATTTTCACCAATTCAACACTATAACATAACTTTACTGCCACCATCGTCAACTTGCTGTCTTTGATTCATAAAAATGCAGATTTAACATTATGTATTATTTATTTAATAAGTAATTTAACTATTATATATTATTTATTTAATAAATAATTTAATTAAGTTAATAATATATAACAGTAAATGTGTAGATCAAATTTTTTTGGTGTTATTTTTTTGGTGTTATTATTATGAAATTTATATATGAAGAGTTAGATGTGTGCTATGTGCAACTGAGTGAATGAGATGTACTGGTTATTATATTTATATATGAAGAGTTAGATGTGTGCTATGTGCAACTGAGTGAATGAGATGTACTGGTTATTATATTTATATATGAAGAGTTAGATGTGTGCTATGTGCAACTGAGTGAATGAGATGTACTGGTTATTATATTTATATATGAAGAGTTAGATGTGTGCTATGTGCAACTGAGTGAATGAGATGTACTGGTTATTATATTTTCTATTAAAATGTTTGCAATATTAATGCTATTACTTTAGTACTATTGGATAAACTTTTGTTAACAAATCATAAAAGTTGTTCAGAAATTTAAAAACAAAATTATACAGATAAAATAATTTTTGCCAACTAATCAATCATATAAATATATTGTGTATGCCAATCAATCATATAAATATATTGTGTATCAACTATGTAAAAGTATTGTTTATAATTAACTAATTTTTTTGTGGGTTTTAAGGTTGGGTTTTGAAAATATGACCTTGGTCTTATTTGTAGTTAGGGGTAATAAAATTTTACAAAAAAAAAGTTCATTCTAAAAAAGTTCAAAAGTATTTTTTGAGATAATGTTTTTATCTGAGTTTTTTTTTTTTTTAACATCCTATTTTGAAATATTTTATGTTTTAAATAAATAAACTTTCATAAATGTTTCTGTTTTATAGGGCAGACATTATTAGAAATGCTCCAGCATTATTGCTTCTTGGATTTTTGATATTTTCAAGTAGGAAATTGTTTGGTATGGGTGGAGCAAACAAAGGAAGTGGTCCTGGAGTATGTTTTTATGATGCTGTTGCTTTATATCAGCTGATACTTATAATATCTAACATATTTACAATAGATGACAAAAATATATTTTTTTTCTAGTTCTATATAAAATATAGGCATTTTTTGTTTATAATGTATTTTTACTTATTATCCAGGGTATCTTTGGTGTAGGCAAGTCAACAGCAAAATTTTTCAACAAAGAAACTGCAATTAAAACTAAATTTAAGTAAGTACCTATTTTTTTGTAAATAGTTTCTTTATGTGTTTTGCATTTTGTAATGCAGCAGTAATGCCCCATTAAATGTTTGTTTAATGAGGCATTATGGTCCAAAAAAAAAAGGTCATATTAATGTTCATAAGTGCAAATTTTATACAAAAAATAAATTTTCTGTATAAAAAATTTATTTTTTGTATAGATTTATCTTTTTTAAGAGATGTTGCTGGTTGTGAAGAAGCTAAAGTTGAAATTATGGAATTTGTTAATTTTTTAAAGCATCCTGATAAGTATTTGGATCTTGGTGCAAAGATTCCAAAGGTATTTATTGTTAAATAAAAAATTATGCTATAAATCTTTTTTTTTTGTTTAATAAAAACTTTATATATGTGTATTTATAACAACAAGTTGCACTTATTTAACAAGCAATTTTCAAAAATATCTTAAATTAAAAAAAGTTTATTTAAAATTAATTTTTTTTTTAATTTAATTTTAAATAAACCTACAGTGTGCATGAATAATTTCCTGACTTATTTGGACTAATTAAAATTTTTTTTTTTATTTTATTTTGAAAATACCTACAGAATGCGTGATAAATTTCAGGACTAATTCGGATTCTAAAAATTCAATTAGAAGAAGGCTAAAAATTTCCAATATCTTTTTATTTTTATTTTTTAATAAAACTACACTATTTTGGGTACAAATTAGTTAGGGCCCTTTCTGCCTAAATTACAGATCTGTAATTTAAGGAGAAATTAAATTATTAGACTGCTACTAAATCTTGTTTAAATTTGTTGAAGATTTTTCAAATCATTAGATGTTCTGTTCCACAGCACATGTATGGATTAATGTTAACTCTTTTTGAGAAAGGAGGTTTAGTATTATGTTTCAAACATCTTGTATCTAAATTTTAATGTGAAAGGGAAACAACATGTTTTTTCCTAATTATTAGAAATTTTTTGAATATCAACCATTAGTGATGAAATTGTTGAAAGAAAATTCCAATATTTATAGAGATATCCAACACATTATGTCTCTATGCTCAAGTACAACATGATGGACAGCTCATCAAAGAGCTTGCTTTACTTTCTTTAGCTACTAAAACAACTTTTTGCTTGTGTTATGTACAAAAATACATATTTGTGGCACATACATTTACGTGAAAAGTAGGAGAAGCCCTTGGCTTATTTATGCATGCTTCAAGTAAAGAAATAATGTTTTGATTGTTGTTAGATGTTTTTCTGCCATTGATCCAATCTTTATTGAGAGATTATTGAGAGAATATTGAAAGACTTTTGAATCTTCGCATGTCTATTTTTGTGTGTGTGTGTGTGTGTGTGTGTGCGTGCGTTTGTGTGTCAATGTGTTAGATGCAAGTGTTAGTTGCAATCAATCGAGCTAATTGCAATTATTCATTAAATTCTTTTTGAATTTTCCTCTGAATAGCCAGAGTTACATTGAAAGTTGATTGCACTTTAAAGCCGATTCTGTATATAATGCTGATGCTAGATGTTAGTGTAAATTCTAAAGGCAGTTTCTGAAATAGTGTTGTTACTTGAGTTCGTGGTGGTGGTAATGACATAGATGTCATATGATGATTGAGATGATGAAAACTCAGCTTATGGTTTTTCAAATGTATTTTTAATTAGCAATTTTTAATTTTGACTGATTGATTTTCTTGATTTTGAGTGAAAGCAAACCAATAACAGACTAAAAATAGTTTTACATATACTAGTTGTTTTTAGGGTGCTATTTTGTCTGGTCCTCCAGGAACTGGAAAAACTTTACTAGCAAAAGCTACAGCTGGTGAAGCTGGAGTACCTTTTTTATCAGTATCTGGATCAGAATTTCTTGAGATGTTTGTTGGTGTTGGTCCAGCTAGAGTTCGTGATTTGTTTGCACAAGCACGCAAAAATGCACCCTGTATTATTTTTATTGATGAAATTGATGCAGTAGGTCGTGCTCGGGGCCGTAGTGGTGGTTTTGGTGGCCATGATGAACGAGAAAATACACTAAATCAACTACTAGTGGAGATGGATGGTATGAGTTTTTTATTTGTTTAAAGTATTAAAATGTTTTATGTAAGACTATAGAATATATGTGATAATATGATACGTAATAATATGATATATGATGTGATAATATGATATATGATAATATATGTAGTAACTCTCTCTTTCTTTCTCTCTCTGTCTCTCTCTCTCTCTCTCTCTCTCTATATATATATATATATATATATATATATATATATATATATATATATATATATATATATATATATATATATATATATATATATATATATATATATATATATATATATATATATATATATATATATATATATATACAGAGCCTGCAAAATTTAAAGAATTTTAGGTTGGTACAAGAGTGCCGACATCAGGTCAGCAAAAAAAATATTTGAATTTTTTGCTTTCTGTTATGAAAGGGGTAATGATTATTTGATTATAAAATCATTGCTTTATAAGAGCATAGCCTTAGACAATAATATTTTAAAAGATGTAGCAGTTAAACTTTATGTATGCATATTACATTATTAGTTGTTGAAATTGTTAAAAATAAGTTTTTTACTTGATTGATTTTAACTCAATCTTAAGACAGTATCGCATGCGTATGAGAATGTAAGATATGGTCTGAACAGTTATTCTTTTTTATGACTGATGTTCCATGTGCAAACGTTTTTGTTGTTAATTTAGCGCAGCCTTTTATTGTGTCTATTTTTTAATAATTTTAATGTTATTAATTAAATTATTAATGTTATTGATGTTGTTAATGTACTCAGGTAATTAGTCCTAATAAGCTGCGGATGGTCTGAAAAAAAAGTTGTCTGAAACTTGATAAAGAAAAAACTTAATAAGACAGTCCTGTTACTACAGAAGGTGCTACTGTGTAGGCAAAAAAAAAAAGCCCATAGCTAGAAAAACTGAAAAACTTTCTTTTGACAATTAAAAGTTTTTTTTGCTATAAATATATGCTGCAGCCATTTTTTAAAACGTCTACTACATATTTCAAGAAAAACTCCTTTTAAAAAAATTATTAAGAGAAACTCTTTGTAAAATGTTTTTTGAAACTAATAATTTTTAGGAGTTTTTTTAGAACTCTTTGAAAATGTGTATTCAATTACGCTTGCAGGCTTGGACAGGAATGGCGTGTGATCGCACTCTGTAACTGACCACGCTAATATTTTTATTTCTTTACAGCTTGACCACGGCTTTTTTGATGTTTTAACAATTTGAATGCAAAAAAAAAAGTGTTACGTTATAAATATCTTTTAATCAATGAACTTTTCTAAAGTTTTTTATTTTATTTTATTGAATTAAAACCGTAAAATTAATTATAGTTATTGTTTACATAAACGCTTGTGTAAATTAATAAAAAACATTAAAAATAAATTTTTTTTTATGTAGGCATTTATTGTTTATGATAATTTTAAACGTTGAAACTATTTTCTTATGTCTTCCTAAAATATTTTTAAACCATTATTTTTAGAAAGAATTTTTTTAAGTTACTTTAATTTGTGAATAAGTTCAAAAGCTTTTGTGACAACTAACTTTTACACATTTTAGCTGAATTACACAAGAATATAAAATAACTTTATTTACTTATATAAGCATGTATTTTGTTGATTTAATGAAAAAGTTTTAAAGCATTTTGTAATGTTCAAACGATTAGTTTTTATGATTAAATTTACGATATTTTAAAATGTTTTAGATAAACATTTTATTTTTTGTAAACCATTTTTTTTTTGTTTCAATTTCGTTAGAAATGAATGAGATTAAATCTTTTATAATAATTTTTAAAATCGTTACGCAAAGCGCTCATTAAGTTGCTCAAATTAAAATTAAATTAAAAAGCTTGTTGGCAGTTTATTTTATTTAAATCGCAGGCGCATTTTATTTATTATTATTTTTTTTCTATTTTTACGAATATAAAAGTCCAAAACCTTTTTTTAAATTAGACTCACTAATTAGAGCATGAAATTAGTAAAATTTACTATTTTAAAAAGCCTACGTTATTTTTTAAAACATTTTTTTCTTTTGCAACTTTTTTGACAAAATAAATGTTTATGCAATTTAAAAATATTATATAAAACACTTTTTAATAAATTTAATAAAATTTGTTCTTTTATTAAACCAATTATAAGTAGTAATTTATTACTTAATTTTAAAACGTTTTGCGTAACTTTAATAACACTTAAAAAGATAAGTTTTAATAATGTTTATTTCATACGTAATTAAAAACGTAACAAAAAGTTTCGCTTCGAGTTTAAGTTTTTATTTTCATTTTAGTGCTTATATAATTTCTTTTTCGTTATGAATTTGTTTTTCGTTTCTTTTTTTGTTTGGAATATTTTTTTCGTTAGTTTTTTTTTTCTTTAGTTTTTTTTTTAATTTTTTTTCTAGTTGATGTTTAACTTAGCGTTTCTACATTCAGAACATTTCTGAAATTTTTAACTTATCAAAACATATAAACATTGTTTATAAAACAATCGTGGTCAAGTTATCAAAAAATAAAATCATTTGCGTGGTCAGCAATAGCGCTTGATCGCACGCCATTCCTGTCCAAGCCTGCGATTGTAGATGTTTAAACTAGCTTATATTGTAAAAGAGTCAAAATTGATTTTTTTTACCTTAAATCTTTGTGAAAAATGGCTGCAGTATGGAAATATGTTGAAATGAGATAATTTGACGCAAAATTTGAATGTTAAGAACAAAAGCCGCTACATCAAATAAATTAAAAGTAATTGCAGTTCAGTGCACTTAAAAATTTTAAGTATAGTTTATTGGTGTTTGCAAAGAAACATAAATCATTTTTTAATATAAATCATTTTTTAATATAAAACTAATTTTTTAAAAACTTTGTTGTATAGCCAGGTTTGGTGTTTAACCATCCATATAAACAATAGATATAAACAAATATGTTATTTGTTTATGTATATTATTTATAAAATGTAAAAAATCCACTTATGTAATGTTTTGTTCAGGATCGTATGTAATATAAGTAAACTTTTCTAATAGTTACAAGTATTTTTTGCTTAACCTGTTTTGTTTTGATTATTTGTATAAAAAATAATCAAAACAAAAAAATACATATAAATATATATTTTTTTAAATATTAAAAAATTGACAAGATTAAAAAAACACGAAACATTTTGTCTCATCCAAGTGGAAAATTTGAAATTTAAATTTTAGATTTGCCCCTGTCTTGATAATTTCTGATTGCTAAAATTACGCCATCTGCTTCTTAGACCATTTAAAATGATAGGTGAGGCTTTTTTGTAAATTGTAAAATAAAAAGCCACAATTTTTTTTGCGTATGTGATGTCACTTTATGGCAAAAAACTAGAAAAACAAACTAGAAATAAGAATTTTGTTTAAATTAAAAAAAAAATTCCTTTTATTAAAGATATACGGAATATATTTTTATGGGATGTATTCTAATAAAGACAAAAACTATTTATTTATTACTATTGTAATAAATACAATCACTTATCTGTGAAATGATATATCTGTACCATTTTTATATAATTTCATGCAATTGTAAATTTTTATAATTTAAATAATTTAAATTAATCAAAAAATGGGGTAGCAGTAACAGTATCGAAAACAGCCAAACTGTATAATCTTGAAAAGGGAATTTCCTGAATAACATCAAAATAGATAATAACATCGAAATTGTAAAAAATGGAGTTGTATCAAAAATCCGAGAAATAGAATAATCTCGAAATTGTGAAAAAAGAATACTATCGAAAAGGGACTTTACGGAATAATGTCAAAAAAGAGAATATATCGAAATTGTTAAAAAAAGAATAGTATCAAAAATCTGAAAAGCAAAATCTCGAAACAGCTCGAAAGAGAAATATGTTGAAAAGGGACTATCGGAATTACATCGAAATTGTGAAAAAAGGAACAATATCGAAACAAGAATTTACGGAATTAAATCAAAACTGTGAAAAAAGGAATCACATTCAAAATCACATTTTTGATGTTAATCATTAAAATAAGTTTTCGATTCCTTTTTTATTGTTTTCAATTTTGTTCCACATTTGTGAAATTCGATATAATCAGAAAAACACATTTTCGATGTTAACCAGTTAAATAATTTTTCAATCTTATTCTGTTTTTATTGTTTTTGATATTGTTCCACATTTGTAAATTTTGATATAAAAACTTTTCGATATTAATCTGAAAATCACATTTTTGATCTTAATCATTAAAATGAGTTTCGGTCAGTTATTTTTCGATAATAATCATATTTTCGATCAGTTAATTTTCGATACTATTCTGCTTTCCCAAAAAATGTAAGATAAGTGCAAAAGGAAACTTGACACATAAAGCATTATTTTGTCACAAACCAACATCAATGTGCAAAATTTTAGATAGCGTTTAACAGCTGAGGTTATTATTCTTTACTTTTTAATTATAATCATAAAATTGAACTTTTTTTTTATGACTATGTTTTAGTGGTCTAAAATCTTCTCAGTTCAATTTGTATAGCGTTATGTACAAATGTTTGTAAGTGTAAACCTCTTTAGCATAGGTACATTTTACCTCTAGGTATAAGTACCTCTTTACTAGGTATAGGTACCTCTTTAGCATAGGTACAACCTCTTTAGCATAGGTACATTTGTTAAGTTTTTGCTCTTAAATGTTTTTTTCAGAATAAATTGTTTTACTAAAATTAATTGAAATAAATAAGTATATAATAGGTATATAAATAATCATTGTGGATTAGATATGTATTGAAATAGTGGGTTTGGTAAAGACCCGTATTTTGCGGATCTGGGAAGCTAGAATATATAAAGAAAAAGTGTAGAAAAGTTTGATTTGGAATAGACTTACAAAGACCCGTATTTTTACGGGTCCATTCTAAAAGCTAGTCTTAAAGAATATTAAAAAAAACATAAACATGTAAATGTTTATGGTTTAATATTATAAGGCGTTACTGTCGTTAAAAAATAAGAAAAAATTTTGGTTAAATAAAAATAATATGGCAATAATATACGTGCCAAAAATATCTAATTACCCGCGCAATTATTTATTAATTAAAAAAATATCAACATGATTCTCTTTCGTATGTGATAATAATGAAAAAAAAAATGCAAATCATTGTTCAAAGCTATTGAAGCTTTTCTGTTAAACGGTTATAAAATACTTTTTTAAAGAGTGAAAAAGTTTAAAAAAAAAAAAAAGATCAGGCGAAAATTTCATTTTGTTTTTCAAAACTAAAAAAGAAGAAAAAACAAAATATCTAAAAAGAAGAAACGAGAATGAATTAAATGAAAGAATTTAAATTAAAATTCAAAAATAGCATAAGTAAAATAAAATTAATAAAAAAGTTAAATAAAAAAAAGGTAAAAATGAATAGACTGCACACCAGATCTTAGTCAGAAGGACCAGTTATCATTGGTCATGCAATTTGTAAAAATTAAAATGCATGCAACTTCTTTTAAGAGTGAAAATGAAGATGTAAGCATTGAAGAACATTTCCTTGGATTCTTAGACGTTAAATCAACAACGGGAAACCGATGTTCTTTTACAAGAGTTAGATGAAATTGGATTGCAAAGCAGGGACTGAAGCGGACAATGGTATGACAACAGTTCCAATATAAAAAGTATTCACTTGAGTACAGGCATGGATCTTAGAAATAAATCCGAAAGTATTTGACATGCCCTGCGCTAATCATAGCCTTAACTTCCTAGTTTGGGACGCAGCAAAATGATTATCTAAATCTATGACGTTTTTTGGTGTTGTACAAAGAATTTATGTACTTTTTTCTTCGCCAAAAATGCAATGGCAAATTTTCATTCAACACATACTAAATCTTGCTGTAAAAAGGTCCTGTGACACTAGTTGGGAAAGTAAACTGGAAAGCGTAAAAGCGCTTGGATATCAAAGCCAATAGTGAAACACCATTAGTTATGAATGAAATAAGTTATGAAAAAAAAGCCTACAGACTAAAAAAATGCATCTTGGAGTTGCGTCGCAGTTACTTCAAAGGCTAGTTCAGTTTATTTCAGTTATTTAGATTTAGGTTTTGTGGCGGCAACATTGTTAGCAAGAGAACTTAGTGAAACTCTTGGTCTAGAGAGTCAAATTTCAAAGAAGACAAGAAGAATATTTGAGTACAAGGGAGATCCTATGGAAGGATCCGCCAAGCAAATGTTCAAAGTGGAGTATTTTTTTGTTATTGCAGAATGTTTGAACAAATAACTAATTACGACACTATGTTTGGATTTTTGTATCATGTAAAAAAACTAAAAGTAGTAAAAGAAGATAAATTGTTTCAAAGGTGTAAAGACCTAGAATCGTTTCTAAGTTTTGAAGAAAAGAATGTTTGTGAAAATGACTATTTTTCTGAACTTAAGGTTCTTTGAGAACTTCTACCGGCTGAGGTGGAAACAACTGCAAGGATTTTGAGATTTATTCACCAGATTCGAAATCCATTTCCGAATTTATTTATAACGTATAGAATTTTACTGACTAAACCTCTAACTGTGGCAAGGGCAGAAGGAGTTTTTCAGGCTTGAAACTTATAAGACATAATTAAGTATGTCCATGTGTCAAGAAAGGCTATCAATTGTGACATCTAAGTTTTCATCTTTTTGAAGCAATTTTAAAAATTATCTAACCCTGGACAATTGTTTTTACAGTATTAATAACACTGTATTATTTTATTATAAATATTTGCCAGTATTCTATTATAAAATTAATGTCTATTATTTGACAGTGTGAACACTTATTATATATCATCTACCTACCTATGAGCACCCTTCATATCAATTGCCGAAAACATGGTGTTGTGCGAATAAGATTACTATTTTGTAAAAATATGTTATTATTTATTACTGATTATTCAATATTAACCCTGAAAAGGAAAAATTTATTTGTTATTCTAATTCATTTATTTCTTGTCAGACAAAAATTATTATTTATTTTACATTGTTTAGCCATTAATAACTTTAAAAATAAACTTTATTGTTATTATTCTAGATTATATTATAAAGCACTCAATCCTTTTTATAAACAAAAACAAAAGTAACAACTCAAAGTTATATCAACCTGAAATTTATGTTTTGCACATATACAACCTCTTTTCAGACAGTAAGAGAAAATATTTTTTTTCGTCAAAGCCCCTAAAATGATGACTTTCAAGAAGGCCTTGCAAAAACGTTTTGCTCCAGGCCTCCGTATGTATATATATATATTTATTTATATATATATATATATATATATATATATATATATATATATATATATATATATGTGTGTGTGTGTGTGTGTGTGTGTGTGTGTGTGTGTGTGTGTGTGTGTGTGTATGTGTTTGTTTTCACTGTTAGTTATCATCATCTTTTTTAAATTGTAAAATATCATTTAGGTTTTACTTCAACCACAAATGTTATTGTTCTGGCCGGAACCAATAGGCCAGATGTTCTTGACCCAGCACTAATGCGACCTGGGCGCTTTGATAGGCAAATCTATTTGGCTCCGCCTGATATTAAAGGAAGGTAGTACCAGTTAATATGACTATAATATTTTGTTATTTGTTGTTCAAAGTTTAAATTAAAATTTAAAGATTTATAGTTGTCTTAATAGAAAAATTGAGTAAAAAGTTAGGATAATAGAGATTTAAAAAAATAATAATATAACTAAAATAATAGAAATTTGTAAAAAAAATGTTGGTGTGTAATCAAAAACATTTGGTATTTTTACTTATTCAATATAATTTTCGTGCTAGCATATTCATTTTAACTTTGTATTTTACAAATTCTTTTAAATTTTATTTCTTTTGGCAAAAGTTTGAGTTGCCATGCTCATTTTTTATTTATATATATATATATATATATATATATATATATATATATATATATATATATATATATATATATATATATATATATATATATATATATATAAAAGAAAGTATCATTATCAATAAAATATTCTTAAATGTTTTTTTAGAGTTTCAATTTTTAAAGTGCATATTCGACCTCTAAAGACGGATTTAGAACCAAATGAGCTAGCAAGAAAAATGGCTGCACTAACTCCAGGATTTACTGGTAATATGTAGACATAGTGTATACTTGTTTTTCAATTAATTTCTCTGCATAATATCATAATCCACATTAATTTATTGTATAGTTTATCTTTTATTTATATTTTATTTTTTACAGTCTTTAGTTTAGCTGTTCAATATATTTAAAGATAAGAATTTGTGCAGTGGCATGTTGCTCGTGATTTTGAAAGTTGCCCCATTCTCTTAAAAGCATTCTATAAAGTTGTTAAATCCTTAAATATAACTTAAAAATTATTTTTGTTGTTGGTTTTAAAAAAAGTTTCTTAAAAAACTGTAACTTAAAAGCAACGAGGGATGATGTTATTAGGCTAATAATTACTGAACTTTTTTTTTTTTATTTGTTTTCAACTAGTCTTACTTGGGTTTTACTTCTTTTTACAACTTTTTTTTACTTTTTAATTTTGATTTCTTTTCTATTGATTTTAAAGACTGTTTATTTGATATTTTAGTTTAAGCAAAGTTGTATATAAAATATATAACCTGCTCTACTTGCCTAGCTTGAGCCATCTTTAAAAGGTTGCATCTCTTTCTCTTTTCAATAAATACTATCATGAACACTACTCATAGGAGCTATCATCTCTAGTTCCATCAACCAAAACTAATTATAACTCAGCAATGTATCCAGACCAATTTTGATACAAATATACTGGTATAGGCCCCCAATTTTCTGCCTTGGCTCAATTTGAGACAATTTTATGTTAGCACCAAGTTTGGCATAAAAAAAATTATTTTTTCATGCCAAAACTTTGGTTTAATATATTTTACAATATATACAAATTAGCATTTGTGTTCTAAAAGTCTTAGTACACCATTATATTTTTTCAAGTTAAACTTAAACAAATATTGATTCATCAGACCAATAAAACTTTCTTCCAAAATAGTACTGGCATTATATACTACTGCAAAATTAATTTCTCTCTTCATATGATTTTTTGTTAAAAATGGTTTTTTATAAGCTATACATCTACTAAACCCTGCTCTATGAATGTGATTTCTAACTGGTGTTAGTGAAGTTGTGTTTCCTGTTAAGTTTTTCAAGTGATGTATTTTTTGCTCTTTCAAATACATTTTTTTAATCATTTTTAAAATTTCTCTATTATTTCTTATAGTTGTTTTCTGCTTTTGCCCTCATTTAGTACAAATTTCAAATGTTTCACATGGTTTGTATCTCTTTACAACCCCTCCAACTGTTGTAAATAGAATATTAGTAAGTTCTTGAACTTTTCTATAAGTATTTCCTTGTTTAACCAAATCTATATTAAGTTTTCTTTTAGTAGTGTTTAAACATTTACCAATTGGTGCCAAACTGTGTAAGGAACAAATTTTTCAATATCTTTAAAAAAAAATGTTAATTGCTGAAAATAATATTCTAAAGATATAAGTTCATTAATAAAATAGATATTTTATGAATTGAAAAATCAAAAATATTTTCATAACAAACTATTAGTATAACAGTTTTGTACAATTTATTTATTCAATTGTCTTGGAAAAATTTTTAAATTTTTTTTTTTATATTTTAACAGAAAAATTTTAAATAAGGAAATAATAAAAAGAAAGCCAAAAAAAATAAAAAAAAAGATATATATATATATATATATATATATATATATATATATATATATATATATATATATATATATATATATATATATAAATAAAGAAAGCCAAAAATAATAAAAAAAAAGATATATATATATATATATATATATATATATCATTCTATAAACAAAATCATACAAAAATTAAAAAAAGTTAAGGAAAAAATTGCAAACAACTCAGCTAAAAGTAAAGTTAGTAGGAAAATAAGCGAAAATATATTCCAGATTTTTGCGGATATTTAACCCAAATATTTTTTCGGATTTTGAAAATATGACAAGGATGATCTATTTAAATTACAAAACTTTAAAGAAGTATAAACAATATATACTTGAATGAGAGGGAAATTATTCTTGTTAGACGAACAAAATATTTTTGTATACTACTAAAAACAAAACCAACACTAAAAGTCTTGGTAAAAACTTTTACCATAAAAAAGATTTCACAACAAATCTAAGTACAAAATACTTAGGAAATTTAGAGTAATATGATTGCTAAAAAAGTTTTTATTTAGGTGCTGATATTGCAAATGTGTGTAATGAAGCAGCTCTGATAGCTGCAAGATCCTTATCCAAAACAATTGATCTAAAGCACTTTGAAGCAGCCATTGAAAGAGTCATTGGTGGTATGATGTTTAAATATTAGTTATTGGTTGTTTTAATGTCTTGACTAATTTTGTTGAGTTTTGTTTTTGTTGTGTAAGCAAATTGATCAAAAGTATATTAAGAATGGGAACTTTTCCATTATATTTAATTTTATAATTTAAATTCTTTGGAATTCACTCTCTTTATCTTATTTTCCTGACTGATTTGGAATTTTTTAAGTCGCCTGTTAATCACTATCTTGCTTTAAAAAGTTCATCTTTTCTCTTCCAGTATTTTCCAATTCTAATAGTAGTTGCTTGCAGCCTTGTTGGAAGTAAAGATGTTTTTTTTTAAAAAAATAGTCAATAATATTCTGTGTGTTTTACATAATAAATATAGCAAAATTTTATTAAATAAAAATTTTTTTTTTCTCCAAAGAATGCAAATTTAAAAAATGTATTTTTCTTGGTGACAATTAGCTCAATGATTTATTTAGGGCTTGAGAAAAAGTCACAAGTGTTACAACCTGATGAAAAGAAGACAGTGGCTTATCATGAAGCTGGACATGCAGTTGCTGGATGGTTTCTTGAAAATGCAGATCCCTTGCTTAAAGTTAGTCAGTTCTGTTAATTAAACCATTAAAAAAAATATATTTTTTCTTTTATTATGTATAGTTTTGTATAACTTTATTTTTTATAGATTTTTGTATAAAAAATTATTATATTAATATTATTTAAGTTTTTGTATAATTTTGTGTAATTAGCTAAAAAATAAATTTCTTTAAAGTTTGATCATGCTATTCCAACATTATATGACACATAAGTATTTTTTACTATTAGGTTTCTATAATACCACGTGGTAAAGGTCTTGGTTATGCTCAATATTTACCAAAAGAACAATATCTTTACTCAAAAGAGCAGGTTTTCTATATGATTTTGTTTTCTAATATTTTTTACATTTTATTTTGTATTTTATTTTATTTTTTTATTTTAATTTTTAATTTTTTTTTTTCTTAGTTGTTTGATCGAATGTGTATGACAATTGGTGGTAGAGTTTCTGAAGAAATTTTTTTTGGTAGGATTACAACAGGTGCTCAGGATGATTTGAATAAAATAACTCAAAGTGCATATGCACAGGTACGAGTTAACTCTTTTAATTTTTAGTTTTTTAACTTATTAATACTAGATATAATAAAACTTTTATCAGGATTTCTTATAAGGAAATATTTTTACAATTACTTAATTCGTATATTTGCAATAATGTTTGTCATTTCAAAACACTTGATATATCAATATTATAGTATAATACAATTGAATGTACTTAAGGTTTTTTAACTAAAAATGCTGGATTTCATCATTGCTGGTAGCTAAGCTGTATTTCTTTGCTAAGTTTCAAATAATCATGCTGATTTTCTTCATAAGCTTGCTTTTTGTGGTGTATATGGGAAATAATACACAAAATCTTGCTTTGTTTTAAAAGGTGTACACCAGCAAAACTTTTGGCAGTGATTGCACCCTAAAACATAGTTGCTGAGCATAGCTTAACAGAATGTGCATGATATATCAACAATGGAAACATTAACTTTATGTGTTTCAAACTGCTTACTTTATCCAAGAACATAATGGGTTGCCAAATTTTGACAATCTGTGTGTTTTTTGCATAAATTTTTTAAATTGACTTCAATGTACCACAACACAAGAATAGATGTCGCAAAAATTGTTTAGTGTTTTGCCAACATGCATGTTTTGGATTTATAAGCTGTCATCTGTATTAATTATGAGTGTTTTTTTTTTCCCTTGAACAAATCAAAAAATATAAATACTGCTTATTCATTATAATTTAAGTATTTTTTTTTTATATTTGGTTTACAAAAATTAAAAAAATAGGTACACAAAATAGAAATACGTTTTTTTTGATTGATTAATGCAATATCAGCCCAGCTACCATCTTAGGCCATATTTACCCCAAACCTGGATCAATATTGTAAGTAAAGCAATATCTGTTTTAATAATAACATAAGCAAAAGAGTTTTTATTTTAAAAATACTTTTTACAATTTACTAAAATAAAATATGTATATATTTTATCGCTTATTTAAGCCAACACTTTCCTTATAACTTTATCTTATCAATATTTAATTTTCTCTTAAAGGTTAAAAATGTTGACATAAATCCAAACAGTTTATCAGAAAAATTAATTTTTTTTTGTCATAAAAGTTCTTTATATTTAAATAATACCAGCCCAATTAAATAATATACAAATATTATCAAAGAAAAAAATCATAAAAAGCTAAGTTTATAAAATAATAAATCTTCAATTAAATTATAATAAATATTATTTTTTCCTACCTCTACAACTTTTTACCTTTTACCTCCACAAATTTAGGTTTTTACTCTATTTTCATCCATTATAAGAATTCTTGTCAGACAAAATAGATACAAACATGTTGTGTAAAAATATTGTGTTAACTGTTTTATCATTACTAATTTTTTTATTATCTAGAAGTAATAAGGTAAATCGATAGGTTGCTTGTATGTTCAGCCTCAGCTCTAAATTTTTTATAAAAATTACATAATATGATATTAATAATAACGTCCTTTTTAGAGGTAAATAGTCTGATAATAGCAACTTCATCAAAAGTTAACTATTAATTATAATTTAAGACATAAGTAAGCTATATTATTCATATTTATTTTATCTTTTCAAGGTTGTTACATTTGGTATGAATGAAAAGGTGGGAAATGTATCTTTTCAATTACCTCGTGAAGGAGAACAAACTCTCGATAAACCATACAGTGAAGCAACTGCTCAAATGATTGATGAAGAAGTGCGAGAGTTGATTGATCGAGCACATACTAGAACTTATGAGTTACTCTTAAAACATAAAGCAGATATTGAAAAGGTTGGTTTTATTTAGTTTTTTTTTTTTTTTATCTGTTTCATTACTTTGATCATTTTTACTAAATAGTTTGACTCTAGATTTAAGTATACTTGGTTTAAAAATTTAAATTTAAACTGAACTTCTATTTTAATTAATGTTTTATCAAAACAAATATATATATTTTAAAAGGCAAAAGGTTTCTTAAATTCTTTTAAAAAAATTAAATTTTTGATCACTGTGATTTTAGTTTTCCTAAACAAAAAATGTCAAATACTAGCATGCAATCATGGCATGCAATCTTGTAAAATTTAACAAAAAATTATTTTTTAACTTTCTGAATCTCAAAAAGTTAAATTTAACAAAAATTGTATATAATAGTGTAAATAAAAAAACAATAAAATTGGCTATAGGATATACAGACAAAATAATTATATAAAAATTATTACTTTTAGTTTTTGGGTTGCAAATACTTTAATTAGTATTTTAAAGTTATTTACTTTTACAGGCTTTTTTATTAGGGCTTTAGAGACCTAAATATTTTACATTTTATCTCCTTAGACCATAAAAAAAAAGAATAAACATAAAATGTTAATAAAAAAACTACTTGGACTATTAACTAGTGAAATAGGACTCAGCTCACAAGTGGTTCAAATCATTATTAGTTAACCGTACCCAAAAGGTTGAAATTGGTAACTTATATTACATGAACCAAAATGTAAAATATGGAGCACCCCAATGGTACTGTCCCAGATCCAAAAATCTTTAATATCTATATGAGATCACTATACAAATATCTAATCATAATCAATGTTAAAACTTTTTGATACTCAGATGATCAAACTCTAAAGCATTCCTTTTTTTTGCATTCATAAATATTCCTTTTTTCACCTCAATATAAGGCAATAAACCCTGGATATACTAAAATATTTTGAATACATATCTAAATAGATGAGTAAATTTTTCCTATGTATTAACCAATCAAAAACAAAAATATTAATTATGGCACCACCTAGTATTCAAAAAGATATTATTATTAAAGGTACTTTTGATAACAAGGAATGCATTAGATTTGTTGACTCATCAAAAATTTTAGATGTGATACTCAACAATGAATTATCTTAAAAATCACAAATAAATAAGTTATAAACTGCTACATTATAATGAGCAAAGTATTCATAATAAAACAATTCTTATTGCACAAAGATTTGTGCTTCTTAGTATGTTCACTAATATTTGTGCTTCATAGTATGTTCACTAATACTTGTGCTTCATAGTATGTTCACTAATATTTGCTTCATAGTATGTTCAATAATATTTGTGCTTCATGGTATGTTCACTAATATTTGTGCTTCATAGTATGTTCACTAATATTTGTGCTTCATAGTATGTTCACTAATATTTGTGCTTCATAGTATGTTCACTAATATTTGTGCTTCATAGTATGTTCACTAATATTTGTGCTTCATAGTATGTTCACTAATATTTGTGCTTCATAGTATGTTCACTAATATTTGTGCTTCATAGTATGTTCACTAATATTTGTGCTTCATAGTATGTTCACTAATATTTGTGCTTCATAGTATGTTCACTAATATTTGCACTAGATTATTGCAACTCTCTCTACTTCGGAATTGAATAGACACTATTAAAAAAACTGCAGTCTGTTTGAAATTGTGAAGCAAGACTAGTATTTAAAAAAAAAATAGAAAATCGAGTAAATGACTAGGAATTCAAAAATTTGCATTGGTTGAAAAATGGGAAAGAATCTATTTCATGGTCCTTTTATTAATACACAAATCTATTAACCTAAAAGTACCAAAAATTAAAGGAAACAGAATGCAGTAATCATTTTGGTAATCGAGCATCCCACTATAATTCTAATCTTTGGAATATACTTCCGAATATTAACTGTGACAAAAAAAATACAACTATAAGAAAATGCTTAAATCTTATTTGATTTTGAATGGTGAACTATTCTGCCCGAAAACTCTTGAAAGTTAAAAATTTTACTAATATAATAATTTTTTGCACAGCTGAGCAAGTGTTTTGCCAACATATACATTATTCTGCCAACATATACATTATTCTGACAAAACACAGGTAAATCTATGTATTTATTTATTCTTAAAATGTTAACACATTTAAAAGTAATGCTGAAAAAATCGAATATCTAATTAGTAGATTTTAAATTCTATATTGCAGATATTTTTTAAAAAGTTGAAAGGTTTGACATTAATTTACCGAGGCTATTTGATTGGATTGTTATATTGTGTAAAAGGGTGTGTTTATATCAATTTCTCTTTTGTTTAAAGTCTATTTAAATCAATAAATGAAAAAATTTTTATTACTTTGTTACAGTAAGTCTAAACAAGATGTGAAATTTATCTTAGTTTGTTTGGTTTTTACATTAAAATATTGAATTGATCAAAGTAATGTATTTTTGTCAATTGAGAGTATTAAATAAGTAAATATTAGTATATAATAAGAAACATTTAGATGAGAGCAGATAGATGAAATCTAGTCTAATCACTCCCAACAAAGTTTCAACTACTATTTAGTTACTAGAAAACAAAGAATAGAGTTAAAAAGCAAGGAGACGGTCAACAGAAGACTTGAAAAATTGTAGGTGGTATGAGTCAGAAAAATATGAAGTTGGGAGAGAGTTTCAAAAGGTTGAAGGGAAAAACTAGACAAGTAACATTTTTTAGAGCATGCAGGGACTGATGCAATAAAAGTATATAACTTTGCTTAATGTTGAGTCAATGTAGAATGAGTTTTAATTAAGGGAACTAGAGATAATTGCTCCTTTATGCAACCATGATAACACTTATAGAAAAGAGAAAGAGATGCAACCTAATGACGATGGGAAAGAGGCTCAAGCTTGGTAGATAAGTCCAACTTCGTTTACGATGCATTTTTGGAAAAGAAAGAGCATCATTAGAAGAACCAGCCCAATATGACAACAGTATTCCATACAGAGACAAATAAGAGATTAGTAAAGGTAGAGTATGGAACCAGGAGTAAAATAATGGCAAGCAATTGATTGTATATTTGGTTTCCATGAGAGGTCAGTAATGAACGATAATCCAAGAAGACAAGAATGTCGACAATATGGCATAGTTGTTTGCGGTAAATAACTGAGTTTTGTTAGAGTTAAAGTTCACAAGCCACTGCAAGCCAAATCTTTTACAGAAGTAAGATCAGATTCAAGATGTTCTAAGCAATCAAAAAGATCGCTTAGAACATGTTTTTTTCCAACTTTAATCTCAAACGTCTCTTTAAACATTGTTGTGTCAATTCCTTTTTTAATTATTGTAGTTGTGTCAACAACTTTAAATGTTGTAGTTGTGTCAACAACTTTTTAGTTGTATAAAAAGAGTAGAAGAAAAGAGTAAAAGAAAACAATCATTCCGAAGGCTATCATAATGCAACTTAATACTGCATTCCGTTGTTTTTTTTATAAAACCATAGCTATAATTATAATGCAATACCTTGAATTAACGATAAACTATTATAAATAAAAATAAATTATTATAAATAAAAATAAATTATTATAAATAAAAATCTCATCTTTTTCAGATTTAAAATATCAAATTTTTCACTTCTCTATATAATAAAAGTTTTTTAAAAAGTTTATAAAAAAAATTATTTTAACTCTTGAAATAAAAAATTATTTTAATTTAATATTATTTTAAAAAAGGTTACATTCACGGTTTGTAAATTTGGGACCCTAATATCAATGAAATACCCTATAGAAACCCTTTTAAGGGGGGATAGTACGTAACAATGGATGGCCATACAGAGTGATTTTGAAATCCTGCATTAACATCCAATGGAGATTTTTTACCTTAAAGTTTTGAAGAAAATAAGAGTTTTAAGCAATATTTGGCAGCCTATTTGTAGTACAAAAATACATTTCTGATTTTTTATCATAAAACAAAAAATGTTAAAAACATAAATTGGGAGCTTTTTTATTTTATTCATTTATTTTCTTAATGATCGCATTTAGAAGATAAACAACAATTTCTATAATTCCATTAAAAATTATAATGCTCTCTAGAGACGAATCATCTGGAACAAAATAAAGGCACTAAAATATCAAAAATCTGTTAAGAGTATTCTTAGGATTTTTTTAACACTGTTCTTTAGATCTAGATTTTCTTGCTGTTGTATTTGATCACACACTTCAGGAGTTGGCTGGCATAGTCTGGATGTGAGGAATCTTGTTTGTATCTCTCCCAATGAACTTTGAAATTGGAGTGCAGAGCTTCTGTTGCCTGCTCACTGAAGAGACCCAATCCTGTTTTCTTGATTTTGATGAACTGAGGTACATGGTAAAACACTGCATGTACTTTTGGAGTAACTGAAATGGGTAGGCGGATGTAGCTTTGTTTGAACTTGGAGATCTTCGATTCATAATCAGGATCCAAATTATTGCCAAAGCAAGAAATGACCACATCCTTAAATAGTGCAAGTGTTTGCATGAAGTCATGAGCTTGACTAAAATTGTTGTATCCTGTGACCAATTGCAACTTGTCTAAACCTCTCAAGAGCTTCATGCAGTCATTCCCATTGAAATGTCCACCATGGTAGGGCTGAATAGGAATATGAAGTGAAGCTGGCCATTTCTCGGCCCCTGGCCAAATTTTGCAAAGATTTTTATACAAATAGTTTACTACTCCAAGTAACAAATGGAGCTCCATTGGAGGGATAGCTTCAAGCACAAGCTTGTGATCAGGAAAATCAACCAATGGTACATGAATGACATTTTTGAACTCCTTTGATTTTCTTGTATCTCCTCCTGCGTTGATGAATTCAAAATGTTGTCTCCTAATCTCGCCAAAAGTTCGAGGACTTCCACAGTTTTGGAGGTTTAAAGACGAAACATCACACCAACAACATGGGTGTTTGCTGCTATGGGATTGAATGCCACACAGAATATTTGCCAACTTTAGGTCACATGATTTGACCAGAGAATCCATCTGACATTTCTCTTGTACTTGGATGAGGTCAATAATTGCCTTCACATTATGGTAGTTCTCTGGAGTGTTTTGTGCAATTGCTACCAGTAGTTGCTGCTTGACACTTGTTGATTTAGTTGTTTGTGGAGACATCAATTTGATTGTTTTCTGCAGTGGGCTATGTCGCGGTGTCTCACCTTCATCCACAATGATGTGTGTGAAGCTGACTTTCAAAAAAGATCCTCCAACATCAATCCCTAGTTTCAAAATTGCAGAATCTGTTATCTTTCTTGATGCTAAGAAGACATCACTAAGACTACTGAGGTTTTGACAATGCACAACTTGGGATATTTGATTGTTTTCAGCAAGAGTGATGCTGCTCACAGTGAAGTGATCACAAAGTTTTTGGCCTGCTTGAGCGAATTTTTGCTGAAAATTTGGCTCCACCAATCTGATAGGACTGATTTGATTTAGTGCCGATCCAAATTTTCTCATCCCATTGTTTGAAAGTCCTATATTCTGCTGAATTTGAACCATATTCTGCGTTGTGAGAGGCTCTTTGAAAAGTTGCTGTGCTGATGAAGGTCCTAATTATAAAAATTGCATTTAAAAAATAGTTCATGACCTTCAAAAAATATTAATATTTTTCAAAAACTTACTTAATTTAAAAATAAAATTTTCTCTGCAAATATATTTGCAGAGAAAATTTTATTTTTAAATTAAGTAAGTTTTTGAAAAATAAATAGATAATATTTATATTTTAATTTAATCATTTAAAGTTCAAAAGCACTATTACCTTTTCTCAATGGCAATAACTTTCCACAAGGTTGACTGAGTCTGATGGTGCCATGAGGAGATGCACTTTTTGATGCCAAAACTGTTGCTGCAACTTGCTCTGCACCAATGGGATCAGAGGCAGCCATTCTTCTCAAATTTTCATGGCGTGTTCCAGGAGTGCAGTAGTGAGGAAGCCCACGACCAATAACTGACAAGCACTTAGTACAATGCTTTTCTGCATTTTGCGAAGATTGTTGGGGAACTTTTGGTGCTGAATCTTGAACCTTGCTTAATGGATGCCTTTCTTTTCCCTTGAGTTTGGCAATCTTACAAATCAAGCACTCACAGACTGTAGAAAAACGAGTAAGAGACTTAATCGAAATTGATTCAAAGTCATAAATCTGAGGCACAACATTTGTTTTACCATCACACAGTTTTCCAATGTGAGATCTGCAGGAGATGCAGGTCGCCAATGGTACTCTGTCATCATTGAAGTTGATTTCTTTCTGAATTTATTGAAGAATTTTAGCTTTGAAGTTTTCAGTCAATTCTTGATCACCTTTCTTCATACTGATAACACAAACAGATTTTCTACATTCTTCATGGTTTTTGGCAAATGTAGGCATCTTTAAATTCTTAAATACTTGTTCACAAAAAAATATGTTTTCCTTCAAAAACTATCTTAAAGTGTACTGCCTTTTCCCAGAATATATTTGTTTACTCTTTTCGTTAGCTTCGAAAGTTCGATTTTACGCTTGCACTGATCAAAACGCTCAATAAAGAATTATTTCAAAAAAAATGAATAAAATAATAAACATTTTACGTTTCATGGGCTACAATCTTTATTTTATAAAAAAAATTAAGGGAGCAAGTTTAGTACCATTAATAGGCAGCTTAATTTGGCTCATAAATCAACCCTTTTAAAAAACCTTCATGATCAAATAATTCTTTTTGATGTTAATCCCCGATTTCAAAACAACTCAATATAGACTCCCATTGGCATGTACTATCCCCCCTTAAAAGGGTTTTCATAGGGTATTTCATTGATATTAGGGTCCCAAATTTACAAACCGTGCATTGTTTATAAAAATGTTGTGAGCCAATATTTGTTATTTTAAGTCACTGTGGTTGGTCGAGGTTGATGAAATGAACCCATGTAAATAAAAATGAGCTATTGCTTTTACTCTGAATTTTTGGAGTAATTCTCAAATTACGTAAAAATTTTGAGCAATTGCTTTTTTTTGCGCGAAAGCTTCTACTCTAAGCAATCGCTCAAATAAGAGAAAAAGGCGTGAATAAAAACTCATAAAACGTAAGCAATTGCTTCAAATTTTACGAGCACCGATAATAGTTGCTTTTTATTTTATTTTTTGATAATTGGACATTTATTTTATTATTTTACTACTTTATTTTACTATTTTTTGGCTATATATATATATATATATATATATATATATATATATATATATATATATATATATATATATATATATATATATATATATATATATATATATATATATATATATATATATATATATATATATATATATATATAGACACACACACACACACACACACACACACTCACACACTGGCGTATACAACCCTCGGAATTAGGAAAAATGAGGTCGGCAGTTTATTGCCGAATTAACACTGTTAAAGGTCGGCATCAGGTTGGCAAAAAAATTTGACACAAAGGTTTACTCAAACACTTTAAGGTTGGCAGTCCTAATTCCAAGGGCTGCGTATATATTTCAGGTATATATATATATATATATATATATATATATATATATATATATATACATATATGTATACATATATATATACATATATGTATATATATATACATACATATATGTGTATATATATATATGTATATATATATATATATATATATATATATATATATATATATATATATATATATATATATATATATATATATATATATATACACATATACATATATGCACTGGCGTATATATTTTATTTTTGCATTTGTTATAATTATTTTCATTTTAGTTATTATTAATGTCTGATTTACACTGAAAGTAGCCATTATTAAACGAAAAAAATAAAAAGAAACGATTTCTATTGGTAGCGGCATAAAGCATTTACTCTTAAGCGGAAGCAATTGCTCAAGAATAAAAGCAAAACTTTCTTCGCGTATTTTTGAGCAATTGCTTTTGCCATGAACATTTACTATTTAGCTTTTACTTTTATTCAAAGCAATTGCTTTTTTTTATCCACCCGACCTCATGGTTATTATGCATTTAACAATATTCTAATTTAATAAAATATTGAATATATATATTTTCTTCACTTTAATAGGTGGCATTGCGTTTGCTAGAACAAGAAGTTTTAAAGCGACAAGACATGATCGAGCTACTTGGTCCAAGACCTTTTAAAGAAATATCAACTTATGAAGAATTCGTTGCAGGAACAGGCGGTGAAGAAGAGGATACTACACTACCAGAAGGTCTTAAAGAACTAGAAAATGAAATTAAAGAAAACGATGAAAATGAAAAACCTCTTCCTGTCAACTAAAAAATCATTAGATTCGTATCATTCCTAATGTCAATGTGTTTTTAGGGTAATTCTAGATAACTAACAGAATTTTTTCGGCTGGTGAAAGAGACTATAGTACTGATTTAATACATTATAGAAATTTAAAACTTTTAGACTTAAGAATACTTCTTAAGACAAAAGATTTGATTTTCATTCTAACGTAATTGTATATTTAACGTAATATGTATTTTAGCATATTTATAAAAAAATAATTTACTTTTAGACCCTAAACGTAGGCTTTTTTTTATAAATTACGGACAATGTATTAATGCGAGTAACGTTGAAAGTATCGTTTAACTAGCTTGTACGAAAAGAAAATGCTTTTTTTATATATAAACTAAAAATATATATAATTTCGGTTTTTCAAAAAGCGTAACTTAGATATTCTTGTTAAAAAGTTTGAGGTGTATCTTTCTGTTGTAACATATCTCCGAGCTAAATGGAGTGTTAGTGGAAAAACATTCACCTTTTTTATGAAATAAATATTTTGAAGTGCAATTTTATGTTTTTATTTACTAATTTTTTCGTTACAATGCGATTTTTAAAAAATTATAAAATTTTAACGGTATAGAAATATGAAATGTAAATACGGCCACTCATAATTTCTTTTTAAGTTAGATGTATTTTTTTGTTTTCAGGCAACTAAAATTATATGTTTTGTAAATCATCCGTTCAATTAATCCTTTCTAAAATAATGTTTGGAAATATCTCAACATGTCCATTAAAACAGCGAGTAGCAGTTTGTCAAATGAATTCGACAGACGACAAAGAAAGAAACATTCGAATTTGCACAGAGCTAATAAACGAGTCTTACGACAAGGAGGCCAAAATTGTTTTTCTCCCCGAATGTTTTGATTATATTGCAGAAAACAAAACCGATTCTGTCAAAATGGCTGAAAGTTTAGAAGGTGATATAATAAAACATTACAAAAATCTGGCAAAAGAGAAATCTTTGTGGTTGTCTATGGGAGGGTTTCATGAAAAGTGTAGTACTTCAGACGGTTCTATTTTCAATTCCCACATTATTATAAATGCTAATGGTGAATTAGTAAGCGTATACAGAAAAGTCCACCTATTTGATGTTGACATTCCTGGAACTGTATTAAAAGAAAGCTCATACGTGACCCCAGGTAAGAAAATTGAAAAACCAGTTGATACACCTGTTGGTAAAATTGGCCTGCTTTGTTGCTATGATTTACGTTTTCCAGAAATTTCCATAGTCAATCGACAACTTGGAGCTCAAATCCTAACTTTTCCTTCCGCATTCACCTTTACAACTGGGCTAGCCCATTGGCACGTTTTGTTAAGAGCGCGTGCAATTGAAAATCAATGTTATGTAATAGCTGCAGCACAAACTGGTAAACACAACGATAAGAGGACAAGTTATGGTCATGCTTTAATAGTTGATCCTTGGGGGAAAGTTGTGGCTGAATGTGAAAAAGAAAACGGTGTATGTGTTGCTAGCATTGATTTAAGTTTAGTTGATTCTATTCGTGAAAGTATGCCAGTATTCGAACATCGAAGGTATGATTTATATAATAACCCTTTAAAGAATCTTGAATAAAGCGTTAAAAAGCAAATTCCGCTTCGACATAAAATTTTGTAAATAGTAAACGTTTTTATTTTTGATCGGTGTATTTTATATATGAATGAACTGAATAAATATGTAAAAATGTTTTTATTTTTGATCAGTGTATTTTATATATGAATGAACTGAATAAATATGTAAAAATGTTTTTTTATTTTTGTTTTGTTTTATAACAAGATTTTTCTTCACAGTTGTTTTTTTTTATTTTATTTTTTTTCTCGAGTAAAAAATTTAAAGCAGTAGAAGAAGTTTTTTGTGCTTAATTATTGTGTAGGTATTATCAGAGAAAAAGAAAACTTATTTGGTAAAAATGAAAAAGGTTTTCAGAAAAATTTACGAGAAAGTCTTTCGTACTAGCTGTCTAGAACACCCCCTTTCTTTTTACACACTTGTACATATATATATATATATATATATATATATATATATATATATATATATATATATATATATATATATATATATATATATATATATATATATATATATATATAGATTGGTAAATATAAAAAACATATTTGTACAGGGCCGACTAGACCAGGGAGGATGGGGCAAGAAGGCAAGTGCCCCCCCCCCCACCTTTTTTTTTTTTTTTTTTCTAAAGGACCTTGTGATTTTTTATAAGAAAAATCTTGATAAAGAGGACTTTTTTCACAAATTGATGATTATGCCCCTCCCACTTCAAAACCCGTGTCGTCGGCCCTGTTGTATTCAAATATTACATTTAAATACATGTTGTTTTTTTTAAAATACATATAAAAAAAGTTTATGATAAATAAAATTGAATGCGCACAATCAGTGTGTGTATACAAATGTTGGGTATGCAAATTAAATACATAGCTTTTTATTTAATTATGTAAAAGAGGTACAAGAATATAATTAAAACTAATTGTTAGGCATACACATTTTTTTACGCTGGAAAGCGGATCAACACTGAGAGAGTCTGATAACTTAGTAGATTGTAAATGCCAATATGGCTAGTTATGGATATTCAAAAAAGTCACAAAAATCATTGAAAACAATAAAAAATTCTTCACCTACTTGTATAAGATTCGTTACTTTTTCATATATATTGTTAATACTAATATAACTATCGTACAAATTAGAGATAGAGAGTTTAAATAAACTAGTATGAAACATCATATACTGTTTAACTTCAACAGAATTGTATTTTTCAAGAATAGGACCATTGAAGTGCAGCTTTTTACAAATAGGGAAATCATTATAAATTGGCTGTGTATAACTATTATTTCTTTTTGTGAGTCTGTTGATAACGTGCTGTAGAGGAAGACGAGATTAACGTACTAATTTCTTTAACTTGTGTAAATTATTTTCAAAAGGAAAACAGCTAATTATGTCCAATGGGCCATACTTTTCAACATCAGAGGCTACATGAATTAAGGAATGCAATTATACACAAGAAACTTGCGTCCATATAACAACTGAGAATGTTTAAAAAAATATGTACAAGGTTTTCTCTGAAATTTATTAGGTATACGAATTTGAAAACTAATTAATGCACTTGAAAGCTTTTGAACAGTTGCAACTTGCAAATGACATATTAAATTACCTGAAAGCTAGGTCAAAACCAACCTTTGAACAAAACAAAGCAAATCAGATGCATGTAGTCAAGAGGAAATTGACTAATTAAACCCAGGTTAATTTTTTGCAATGGTAATGGTACATCTCTTTTATGATGATCTTCATCTATGTATTAATTGAATGCAACATCAGTCCTCAATGGAGCATTGTCTTCTGTCAATATTATTTTATGAAAATTATAAACACCTTGCTGGTTACTTCTTTCATACGAATGCTGTTCACAATGCGTTTTAATTCATAGAACAAAGACTCGTGCAGGTGCACCATAAAGAACACAATGAATGATAACCTTTATGTGTTTTTCATTTACGTTAAATCCATTGTTTTGAAGTTGTATAAATTCCTTCACAAAATCATTCATGTATTCGTCAATATTTTGCGGTTTATGTGGCCGTGCATAAAGTCCATTGATAAATGTGTGTGCGTGTGCGTATGAGCGTGTGTGTGTGTGTGTTTGTGTGTGCAATTTGGCATTTTTAGTCTTATTGAATCTCGAATTGAAGCGGGTCTTGATTTACGAATCGGATTTCGAATCAAATCTCGAATCGAATCAGCAATATATATAAATCCAAATTCATGCATCTTTTTTCAAAATATGCTTAAACTTGGATTTACACATATTGCAAACAACCGCTAAAAAATAATTTTTTAACGGTTGTTTCAAAGTATTACAATTACTTTTCATTAAAATCACCAACACTCACAAAATAAATAGTGATTTGAAAAACTTGAATCTCTTCTTTTGAATCAAATATAAAATCGAAGCGACACTTGATTCGCGAATCGAATTGATTTGCTGGGCCCTTTAACCTTTAAACCAAAGTTTATATTAAAATTTGTATCAATATTTAATTAATGTATTTTTATCAATCTGATACGTTACAATTTGTATATATATTTTCTTTTAGTTACAAACCATTATACTTTTTGAGATGTGCGTGTTTAATCTTATCTTTTAATATTGATCTGGATATTTTAAATTTTAAAGCTGTCTGTCTATCTTTGAGTTATTAGACCGTTTTTAATATTAATAATGCCTTATGGTGTACCTACTGTAAAGTACAGGTAACATGTTTTCTGGTTTTATGATTTGGTCTATAATTTCTAGGCAAATTTGAACTAATAAAAAAATATTTAATCTAAAATTTTACTAACATTAGAGATTTTATATTATGTCTAAAAAACACAATCACAATGTTTTTCGATTAAATATTTTATTTTTGCATGAATAAATAATGACAAAACGTATTTTACTCAATTCACTAAAACAAAATGCGATAAATTGAATTTAATTTAAAAATTAACTCGAAAAAAGAGATTGGTACAGGCGCAACGAGACTTTTTTTGATTATTTGATTTAATGTGCTTGAATGAATGAGAACGGGTTAATGAGAATGAGAAATATTTTGAACAATAGCATAAATAAAGCCCTTTTGTTTATTTCCAGACGATGAATTCTTGTGACTGTATGTATTCTACTTGATAGCACGCACCCTCGATATACATCAATAAGTTTTTATTCACTTTTTTTATTTACAAAATGTATTTTTTACTGCATACCAATTTAAAAATGCCAATTTAAGTAACTTATATTTAGTAGTCAAATAAAAAATGAATTACCATCACAAATCTGGATCAAAACAAGGAAAGAAAAATGATCAAAAATGAAAAACGCAATTAAAAACAAACACCACTTTAAATACTAATGCAGCATACCATCAATCATCAAATCAAGGATACCACTTAAAACAGGTTCTTCTCAGAATTTTATATGGAAAACTATTTTTAAGAAAGATTTAAGAATTAGAGAAATAAGTGACTTAGTTGGCGTTGCAGAAAAAAATGTTTTTTTGGGCGTTTTGGAAAATAAATTTATAAATAACCCATTACGATTTTGTCTTCAAAGGACGTCTGGAAAAAGTGATGAAGGCTCAGAAATCGAATAAAAGACTACAAGTATAATACTTGTTGATGGAAATTCAAATTGAGATTTATTTTGATGTCAACATGTTTACAACTAAACTTTTTTCGCTTCTCAGCCGTCGCAATAATCGTTGCACTCCTACTGCATTATTAAAAATAAAATTCGCATATTTAAGAAACAGGACTTTTTTTTTACTTTTCCAGACTAATTTAGTTTACCGGTTATAATTGTAAACCGACAGTTTTCTTTATTGAAGCATGTTAATTTATCATTTTATTTTTTATAAATATATATAAAAAAGGTTTTAGGAGAATAATCTGAGTCAATTCACTGTACCTTTTATAGTGAAAACTGTATAGTATACAGCTTACACTCGTAAATTTAATTGAAGTATTTTACTACAGAAGTAACCAGAATATTTTTTGCTTTTACCAGAATATTTTTTTACTATTTGTTGCATAAAATTGGTATCAAATAAAAAACTGGCTTCTTCTGTAGTGACACGATTCAATCCATTATTCTTTGTGGACTGAAATAAACAAGAAAATACTATTATAAAACTATTTTTTTGTCTTTTTGTGGTATTTAGTTTAATATATCAGTATATATTAACACCCTGGCGACAAGCCAAAAAAAACAGCATAGCGGACCTTTGTCCGTTTTTGAAATGGCTGTATGCCACATCAGATTTCGCAGTGGACCAGCATCGACATGCCGGCGGCGGCTCGATTCATTACATTTTGTTGAAAGTGGCTCAATGTGTCACGTTTCGTTGAGCAGCTGTGGCACAGTAGTAGCGCACTTGCCTCAGAAACAAAGGATCCATGGGTAAAACCCCACCTCTGGGCAAGTTTTGCGACATCGGTTAGAAAGGAAGCGTGAGTAATCCTTAACGCCATATTGTGAATCATCAAAAAATCATTATTTAATTATGATAATCACAATCTATTAACTATAATTGTCTCTAATGATTATAACCACGTTCAAAATATATAATCAAACTTTTCATATGCCTTAAATGCTCAAACAAGTTTTTTCTTTTTTTCTTTGAATCAATGCTCTTTTTTATTTGTTTGATTACCTTAGCAAGGTCCTCGACAACTATTTTTGATTTTTGAGCTATGTAACTTCGAAACGTGAAGAAAACTCTATATTTAAGTATGTTCATATATGTAAGGAATAAAGATCCTATGCAAAATATTGCGATGATTGGAAACTAGGAACAACAAAAACCCTAAAACTTTATGCTTTATTCCTCATATAGAGGGGGCTGTAAACTTTATAAGGTCATATAAACCAAACAAGAGATTATTGAATCAGATTTGAAATTCGTTGTTGAATATTAATTAAGTTTAAGATTGAAAACAAAATAAGAAATTTGACTCATTGCCCTCCTATTTGGGGCTGGGAAGGCTAATGTTTTAAGGTTTTTGTTGTTCCCAGTCTCTAATCACTGCAACTTTTTGAATAGCATCCTCAATCCTTATATGAACCTAAGCATGGAATTTTCTTCTTGTTATAAAGTTGCTTAGCTCGTTCATAAAAAAAAGTTGTCTGCGGCCTTTCTAACTAGATATTTTTTCAAAATCTACATGATTTAGAAAATATAAAAATTTTGAAAAATAAAAGTAAAAGCTTTGATTTTCAGAGGGATCAAATTTGAAAAAGCGCTGCATTTATTTGATTATTTTTTATATTTAGAAGTTATTTTTAATCTTTTAGAACATGTCTATCAGTAATATCTTGTTCTTAAAATCTAAATTTGTTGTAGTTTATTGAGCCTATTTTTTGTAGAACTTTATTAGTTTAATTTTTATTTTAATTGGTTATTTATTAATTTTTATTTTAAATAAATTTTTTTAAGTGTTTGTTTAATAATAATGTTAAACTTCTTCATTTTGCTATTGTGTTTATATTTGTACTATACTGTAAACTTCAAAAAAATATGTATGAAATTAGTATTATTAAAAAAAAAGTTTTTCAAACTAAAACAAAAATTTATTATTAAAAATTCTTTTTTTGTGTGCTAATTTAACAAACCGTTTAAATTGAAACATTTTTGAAAATTTATGACGCTTAATGCAAGTTATTATATTGATGCATTAAATATTTTTTAACTATTACATTAAAAATGACGCATTAAATATTTTTATATTCAGAAAATTGATATTATTCAAAGCTTCTTTAAAAAATAAAAAACATTAATGTTAAAGTCTTTTTTTGAAAATTTGGTGAAAGCCTCTTCTGATTTCTTTTTTTTTTAAATAATAAATTACAGGGTTTACACACGAGTTAACTTGCATCAGGAAGATTGCTCCGAAATAAAATATTTGATGTGCCAAGTTACTATACATTCTTTCGTTTAAATTTGCCAATTCTAGCATCATCCAAATGTTTAAAGGAAAAATTGATACAAAATAACACACAATTAAAAGTAACACGGACTTAGCAAGTTTTATATGTTTTATTTTTCTTCCTGAATTTAAGAAGTTGTAATGACGTTTTATCTCGACAACTGCTGTTTCATGACTGTTCGAATTTTCGCAAGTGGAGGAGTTATCGCTACCAGCAACGTTTTGATTTATTTGATGGCGTGAAAGATTTCTTTCTTTTTTCCGAACGTCCATCGTAATTAAAAAATAGAATACGATTAAAGCCACAAGTGGCAGAGTGTAGACAGCAACACGTAAAACGACAAACGCCGTCATATTAAACTGCCGCGCAATTGGTATTATTCCAGGAACAAACCATGATAATAAAATGAAAATGATAACTTTTTTTTTTGTCATATATTTATTGTAGTTATGTAGCTTGGTCAGTAACAAATACCGATCATATGCAACTAATGCTAAACTTGACAATGAGGAACCAACTAGCAAAATTAAAAAACAACTACGGATTGTATGGGTTAAACAGTTTTCTAATAACATGACATCAAAAACCTGAATTGCAGTTATTGGGCCGAGAATCAATCCAACAAAAAAGTCAGCAGTTGCTAGTGAAAGTAAAATATGGTACGATATAGATCTTTTCTTCATGCGAGCTATAATGATTAACACAAGCATGTTAGTAACAGTTGCTACAATTGTTGCGACACAAAGAAGGATCCCCAAGATTATCAAATTAGATAAATGGTTCAATTTTGTTCGCCAACATATCATGTTTTAGTTTTTTATTGTTTCTTTTTCTTTTTTTTTTTTTTTTGATAATATTATGATCAATTGTTTCAATTTTTACATAAACTAATTCAAACAGAATAGTTAGTCCTTGTAATAACAGAATTTTAACTGTTTAATGCCTTTGCAAGCGTATGTCTCTGCAAGAATAAATGTTTTGTAAAATGCTTACTATGTTTTTAATATTGAGAATTTGTACTTTCTATTACAACCTAAAATTAGTTGATTTTGTTGTTAAACTGCATCCATATAGTAATATTAAATATCTAATAGTTGTTCATATTAAACTATTAGCAAATCAAGTTTTGTTTTAAACAAAGTATTATTTATTTAACATTCAATATAATGTAATATAATAATATTTAATTATGTTTTAAAAATAAACTTTATTTGCGGACTTTTCTAAAATTAAACTTATTTTTCAGACAATTTTTATCATATATATTGCTATTGGCTTCGAAAATGACTAAAATATTCCTTATAAATAGACCTTACCTGCAATCTGTATGTACGCCATTGAAGTAAACGTAGTTTATGAACTTAAAAATGATTTTAAAAGTAATTTATAAATAATGAATAGATGTTATTGTTGCATTGTTTTTTCTTTTATTTTAACTATAAATAGTTTAAGATAAGAAGACAATTTATTTATGTATATATTTTTTCTAGTTGTTATGCAATCTTATTTTGAGTCATGGTCATACTATTAGCGATTTCATTTAGTGCAATAATTCACATACGTACCAATCGTTTAAGTAATTTTTTTCTCTCTTTTTTTATGGTTATTAGAGATTCTATTATCCTATTTCTAGTAAAAAGTGATCGAAAAATTATCTATAAATTATTATTATTTATCTGATTCTTCTTCTTTTATCTCTCATTTTCCTGTTTATTTGTAAAACATTCTTTTGATCTTCAAAGATTGTGAACATTTAAACTTTGTATACGTTAAAATTTGTAGCGAAGAAATTATTGTAACAATAAAATAAAAATTCAAATTCAAATTTAAAATTAAACTGTAAAAAATGTTTTTTGCTAATTATATAACTCAAGGTTGTATTTTGGGAATCTTCCTTCTCCTCCTTCCTTTTTTTTAGAAAAAAATTATTGTATATTATTATATTAGAATAAATAAAAATTAAAAAGTTTTGTTCAATATACTTTGTACATTTTATATTTTTGTACTATTTTATATCTTTAATTTCTTTTAGATTTTTTTTTTTTGATTTTTTTTTAAATATTTCTCTATTTCCTATTTAGTATTCATAATTTTAGATTTAATATTTTCTTAAGTGCTTTATATCTTAAGTGCATTTTTAAAAAATAAAATCTAGATCTTTACTTGGGCAATCAACGTAGATGCATTTTAGGGGATTTATTTACCTTATTTTTTATATTTAACTTTACTATCAACAACCAGACTAAATATTTGAATGTAAAGTTAAAAAAAATATTATTTATTATTATAATTACATTTATAAATTCAGGTGTGACATAGTACTTCTTGATTATTAGACTTCGATCTGGCATTACTAAAATCCATGACAAAGTAACTCCTTAAACCCAGTACCGAAGCTTTGTTCGAGACTTTAATTTTAGTAAAATTAATTTTGTCTACTAAATCTAATTTAAAACCTAGGCTTATTGCTTTTTTGTTTCTTAATTTCGACACAAAACTTTGAGCGTGAACCGTCGTTACGGATGTTAACAAATAAACGAACACTTAACTTTCTACAATAATCCACGTTTTTGGAGCCGGTAATCAGCTCTCTATTATTGCCGTATACTTGTTTTTGGAACTGGTAACCAGCCCTTTAGTATAGCCAGAGGTGAGAGGAAATGAAAACTTTATACTACTTATTCTTTAAATTGTTAGTTGTAGATGACGTAATCAATCGGTTAAAAGCATGACGTTTTCTTACTTTACCCTACTAACAGACATTTGTATTCGTTAAAGACATATATTTAATAAAATACTTAATTGTAAAAAAAATCTCAAACTGTGAAGCGGTATAAAGCGATAGTGAAACGGGAGAGCATTGGAATTGTAGTGGTTTAACTGTATGTTTCATGCGCAAGATAGGATCTAACCTCGTTTTGTTAAGGTACTATTTTTTATGTACTCTTATTTTTAATGTTTTTAAGCTTTGATCTACTTGCATCTTTAAATTTTAACTTTAATGTGTTTTTACTTTGAATGTAATTGTATCTTTTACTTTTAATGCATTAGTAGTTAAATTGAAAACTAATATTGAAAAAACGAAATAATTCTTTCAATCAAATTTAAAAACTTCAAGTACAAACTGAAAGTAAGAACTTAATTTTGATAAAAATCAATTATTCGATTGAAAGATTATTCTATTAATGTAAAATATCATTGAGACATTTAAAAATTGTTTTGTAACGGATTAAGGAAGGCGGGAAATGGGAGGCTGAGTCCCAACTATTAAGCTATTATCTCGTTTGAGCAAAACCTTCTTTTATCCTTCATATTAAACCTTGATATTAATCTTATAAACTAGAAAATTGATATCTTAAGTACGTTAAATATTATTAAAAAAAAAAAATTATAAAAAATAATTTCGTAAAAAAAGTGAGCTCTCAAAAAAAATCATGCCCAAAATTTAAATCTTCAAATAAACCACGTAAAAAAAACTTAACTTTTAAATATATTCACTTGCAAACTACAGCAACCTATGTGAGCCCTTGCTTTGAAACATTGACACTAATTCTTAGGCAATCTGCGTGGCTATTTTAAAAAACTTTTTATTTTAGTTCTGATATTTAAATGTTTACCTTTTTCTAAACATTTTTTCAGTGGCCAAGGAAGATTTTTAAATGCTTGAAATAACCAACTTATAAACAACAAGAATATTCCAAATTTTTTTACGTTCATATGACAAAAAGATTCTTTTGAAAAAAAATTACTGTGATAGGAGAATGGGAACAAGAAACCCTAAAGTCTTAGCCCTCCCTGCCCCAAACGTAAGAGCAACAAGTTGATGAAATATTTTTTGTACTATTTTCAACTAGACTAATATTCATCGAGAAATTCTAAATTTCATAGTAAAATATTTTAGTGTTCAAAAATTATGACCATATAAAGTTTAACCACCCCCCCCCGCCCAATTTGAGGGGGTTGCAAACTTTATATAGTCATAACTTTTGAACACTAAAATATTTTACTATGAAATTTAAAATTTCTCTATGAAACATTTAAAAACCTTCCTAGGCCATTGAATGTGTTAATTTTTTGTAAACATAAAAATAAACACATACGACGATTTGGAGCAAAAAAAGTTCCGAAAATACCCTTAACTATTAGGAATAATTTTTATAACTGTTTTCAAATAACCACAAGAAACGCATAATAAGTGTAATATAATTGAAATTTTTCTTTTTCATGTTAACTTAGAAATAAATGAGCTGAATATATAAACCTTTAAAAGAAAAACACTAGGAAAAAAAAATAGGAGTAGAAGTTGTGTCGATGACTGGAATATATTTATTAGGTTTTCCAATATTTTACAAATAAAAAATAAAAGTAAAAATTTAACACCATTACTTAAGGGGTTCTGACCCTTAATTTAGTATTTTATGTGATTTTTTACCAGTGCATTATGTTTGTGAATTGTGCCAGTGATTTATGTTTGAAACTAACACTTCTCTAAGTTACTGAATTTTATTCCAGTAATCGACAATACTGTATTCTAGTCATTGACTTAAAAAAAATGTTTCAATTTACTAGGGTTTTTAGAAAATTACTTTTAAAAATAATTGCTTTCTTGAATTTTATGAATTCACAACAATTCCGTTTGAATAATCATTAAAGATTGCAACATTGTAAATTCCTAGGAGATTAATTCCAAACTTAAAAAAAATGAATATCTAAATGTTTTTATTGTTGTTAAATGTTAATTAAACATTCTTCTAAATTTAAAAATAGTTAATTAAATTAAATGTAAAATAAAGTTTAGATATTTCCTAAAATAACCAGCTGTTCAAAAATGGTCTTAAGATCCTGATATATTGAGGAGGATATTGAAAAAGCAGTTTAATTCGTTAAGAGGTAAATTTGGCATTTTTAATGTCCTATTAGATAATTAATTTTATAGTAAGTTTATACTGTACGCAAGTAGATCCTATTGAGAAGCTCAATGTCTCAAACCTTATCTGACAAATATTGCACTAATCTTATAGAATCACTGGAAGAAGGCACAGCTATATAGTTGTCAGTTATTTTTACTGATTAAACTTTCAAACTATTTTTCAAGCTTTTTTTTAATAAGAAAATCAATAGCCATACAAACACTAGGAGAAAATGGTTTAATTATTTAAAAAGAAGAAATGCAGACAATCGACGAGCAAAAGAAGAAATGCAGACAATCAACAACCCTGTAGAGGAAAGAAGCCATATTTTATGCTGTAAAATAAAAAACAGACTTTTAAATGTTTTCTTCAAAGTATGTTTTTTGTAGTTTATGTTGTAAACTCTAAAAAGCATACTTTTTCGTTTTGCTACGTATCATTTAAGTTCCTGTGTTTAACTTTAAAAATTTTATATGTGTTAAATGCTGGAGAAAAAAAACGTCGATCTAAAGATGTTGGCCTATGCTCCACATTTTAACATTTCGGGGGCTATAACTCCTTTATTTATTTTCGGACGTCATTCACTTTAAGTGTGTTGTACAGAGCAACTATCCCTTTATAAGATAAAACTTTAAGAAAAGTCATTTATGAAAATAAAGAGTGAGAAATTATTATTTATATAAGACTAGGTAAAAAAAACGTTGACTACTGTGGTTTACCCTACTCATTTTTGTATTTTAATTTATCAATCGATTCAATAATAAATAATTATATATCGAAATTGATAAAAAGTTCTTCGAATGAATATGCTGATGTGAACACATTTGTTACAAAAAAACAAAATTTTAAAAAAACTTGAAAAACAATAAAATAAAAAAATCTAAGAAAGTTACAGCTTCATTTTGATAAAATAGAAACAGCATTTTATGAGTTAAAAAAAAAGTAAACTGAATGATGAAGATTTTATTTGGACATATGGTCATCATAAAAAGAACTTGCAAAAAACAACAATTTAAATTGATAAAAATTATTTGTGAAAAAATAAAAAGTTAAAATTTTTTTTCAAACATTCCGACTATGAAAAAAGAATTTGTTTGTTCCTTGATCTAATGATTACAGATGATA